CTATATACAATCTATACTAATATTATAAAGCTGAAGAGTTTGTTTGTTTGTTTGTTTGAACGCGCTAATCTCAGGAACTACTGGTCCGATTTAAAAAAATCTTTCAGTGTTAGATAGACCATTTATCGAGGAAGGCTATAGGCTATATATCATCACGCTAAGACCAATAGGAGCGGAGCACCAATGAAGAATGTTTCAAAAACGGAGAAAATTTATTACTATTGAGAGACGCAGACGAAGTTGCGCGGGTCAGCTAGTAGTAGATAAAGTTATACATTCAAAATGGTTGAAATTAAACGACCAAGCGATCTCTGTAACATTGAAATACGTCAGTTGACTGATAACAACTTATAATATAAAATATTAAAGTATGTTTTTCACAAAGACCTTGATCTTTCAACACCCCAAGAAACCAATTGAGATCTATCTCGTAGAGACGTATCTATATTAAGATTTAGTCATCATCACATCAATTGAATTATTTTCTGCAACTTCCATTATATGTAAACAAAGACAATCTAAGATGTGTATCATACATGTTTTCTTACGTTTACGGTGAAGATATCAGAAGATAATGAACTAGACCCAGCCTAGGAAAGGGAGTCATGACCCCGGCAGACCCTTCGGCAATTTGCGGAGGGTTCTGCTCCCTACAATACAGAGACACGCGCGGGACTATTCACAGCGATACCAGTGCTGATATCCAGTGGATGGCTTCTCTCCCATTCATCCGACATCTAATTTTATTTTAGAGAGAGAGATTTAGAGCGCATGAAATCGAAATTTTTTCTTGGTATTGCCGGTAGGCTCCGGTTTCGGCATTTAGATTCAGGAAATTTCCTTTATGCGTCGTGGTAAGGTTATCTACGTGAGCCAACCCAGTTACTTCTCCTCCTCCTCCTGGGGCGTTCACAGGCTTCTAGAAGCGATTTTGTATCAAGTATGATGCTTGCCCATTGTGAGACCACTCCCTCGGATTCCAGGATTACATGGGCATCCGTTTCTTCTGCTTTGAGACATCATCTGCAAAGTAGACTAGCTGTCGCATGAAAAGAGACACAATCTGTGTCAATATTCGGTGTTGCCACTAAAATTAATTAGCAACTTTACTAAGGAGGTTCGGTTAACTGATATTACTTAAGTTGTACAAAAGTGGATACGTACAAAGAGTAAACATGTACAAAAAATGGAAGTTAATATAATATACCTTACACATCTCACACACGGCCGTCTGATCCTAAACTAGGCAGAGCCTGTACTATGGTAACTAGACTGCTATATATATATATTATAGATGAATGACACACCCAGGCACAGAACAAATGACCGTGCTCATCACACGCTATTTGTCCTGGGTGGGAAACGAACCCAAGACCTCCGGTTTAGCAGTCAGGGTCATTAACCACTAGACCAACAGGCCCGTCAGACACAACGCTTAACATCAAATAGTTCTGACAAAAGCAAGTTCTAGCTACAACCTATAACTTGTAAGCTATACCTACTATCTTTAAACCCGTTTGACGACAATAAGCACCTATTACGTTAGTGGGACAAAATGATAGTAAAATAATGTGACGGAAAAATGTCTCTGCCCATAGGACTACAAGTTACGCAATTTTGCTTAATCAGTCTCAGTAGTAAACAATTGAAAAATTAAAAAGCAAATTGACGTGGGCACCGTGGCTAAAGTTGGCCGCATACGGACGATGATTGTTTTTTTAATTATCCAATCTTTATAATCATTTATGTTAGAATCTTAAAAACTTCTTTGACTATAAACTAGTTGATTCCTTTTATTCGTCACCAAATCTTATATATAAAATTCTCGTGTCACAATGTTCGTTCCCGTACTCCTCCGAAACGGCTTAACCGATTCTCATGAAATTTTGTGTGCACATCGGGTAGGTCTGAGAATCGGCCAACATCTATTTTTTATACCCTTAAATGGTAAGGGTGACCCATCCCTAATTTTTTTTTGTTTTGCAATACAACGTTTGCCGGGTCAGCTAGTACGAGTATATATACATACTAGCTGACCCGCGCAACTTCGTCTGCGTCTCTCAATAGTAATAAATTTTCTCCGTTTTTGAAACATTCTTCATTGGTGCTCCGCTCCTATTGGTCTTAGCGTGATGATATATAGCCTATAGCCTTCCTCGATAAATGGGCTATCTAACACTGAAAGAATTTTTCAAATCGGACCAGTAGTTCCTGAGATTAGCGCGTTCAAACAAACAAACAAACTCTTCAGCTTTATAATATTAGTATAGACTAGCTGACCTAGCGAACTTCGTACCGCATTAGAATTAATAAATTAGGTGACAAATTTGGTGACATACAGACAGTGTTTGCAAACCATGTAGGAACCCATTAGAATACACACACAAAATTTCCAGCCGTTTAGGAGGAGTTATGTATAGATTAAGTAGCAGTGGTTTCCTAAATCAGTCACATATGATTTATCACTTGTGATTGTGATTTTATGCCATCCCTAGTTCAAACGTACGAGTAATAAAATCAGCTGTATACAAATGTAAAGGAGTTACATAAACATTAGCGTTTAAACATACCTAATTGAATAAATATTTATTATAAATAACGTAACGTGATACGTTACGTAACGTTAATTGTATTATCTATTGTATTTACAACTATGTGTGCACCCTTTCGCAGATAAGCCGGAACAAAAAACAGATAAAAACAATTTTTTTTTAGATTTAAATTGACGTTTTGATGATATTTATTTCTGCAAGTAAATCTTTTCTGATATTTTTACAAGTTGGACACAGCTGGAAGATATACTATGGGAAGAAACATTAAACATTAACAGCCTTTAATAGTCCACTGCTGGACATAGGCCTCGCCTTAGAAACTGGCCTACTATACCACGCTGGCCAAACGGGTTGGTATAGGGTTTATGTCAAGTTTTCCTTCTCTTTGCAGTGTCTTTGTTGTCCTGCGTAGTGTGCTCCCTTAGTGGGCTCTTACGACACCCACTGGATGAATAGGGGCGGTGACACTACGTATTCTTAATCCGTCACCACACGAAAGAAACGCCGAAACAAATTATAAAGCCGTCTTTTTTTTGAGTCCGAGTACAATTTTGATAAAAAGAACTGAGTGCAGTATGGGGTGTGGGTTGGCCTTTTGAAGAAAGGACCATAGTTTTAAGTCGGCCTGTCCATACAGATGGCATACGGGCCCTATTCATGCTGTAGGTGTCGTAAGAGCCGATTAATTGAGCAAACTATGCAGGACAACAGCACTATAAAGAGAAAACTTGAAACAAACCCTATACCAATCCGTCTGGCCAGCGTATACCACGCTAGGCTAAAACCTTGTTTCTAAAGAGAGGCCTATGTCCAGCAGTGGAATATAATAGAGTTATAGTAAATATCATGTAAACACCAAGTCACCGGAGAGGCACAAGCATAACCTCTGTTCTGATAGCGGCCTCCTACGTTATTGGTTTTTATTTAAATTATTAGTCGATTAAAATATTCCACTAACTTAGTTGTTAGCGGAGGTAATAAAGGATCGATAAAAGCCATAAAACGCTATTCAATTAATGTGGCGTTGTATTGTGTCATACATTAAAGATTTACACAATACTGTAGATGAATATTAGGTCAAGTTAGCTTATTTTTAATGTACGTCAAAATATAGTTTTTAAACATAATTATGGAAACATAAAAATGATTTAATACTAGATTTTGCAGTTCGGACCTATGTCGGTTATCGCGGTAAAATTAGTCTATGTTACTAGCTGATACTTAAGCTTTCCATTGGGTTTTTTTTAAACGGTTTAGTGGTTTAGGCGTAAAATCGTAACACACAAACATTACATTAACATTATTAACCTTTTTTTTCCGTGCGGAAATCCCCTCGGATACCACCTGTCGGTGGCATGTCGGACTCGAACCGACTAAAACCGCACGCCGTCTCGGGTACTGATAGCCGGGGAACCAGGTATACCCTAGAAATTAAGTCCCTGGTGCCCCGACATACCTCGGGTCATCTACAGACGAGTAGACGAATCCCCCCCCCCCCCGTTTGGGAACCCCATGTTCCCTGTGCTCCCTGGAAGCGAGTGCGCTTCGCAACGCGCTCGCCGCCACCCCGGCCTGCTTCTGCTAGGGTGACAGATGGCCTCACCTGTCACCCCCAGGCCTGCGTTTATGGAGGACGGAGGTCGTTCTGCGACCTCCGGCGCCTGAGTCACCTGCGGTACCTGGCCCGTTCCCGGGCCTGGCGGGCCGGGAGAGTCCTAAACCTCTCCCGGTCCCGCTCCGCCGTCTCCTTCGCGAGCATAACTTGCTCGCAGAAGGAGACGGCAGAGTTCCACGCACTCTCGCTCCGCACGATAGCCGTAAACAGGCTATCGAGCGAGAGAACTCCCACTCCGATGGCGGCCACGAGGTCTCGCCTCTGCTCAACCCACGCCGGGCACTCTGCCAGCGTGTGGAGAGCCGTGTCCACGGTCTGGCCATCGCAGTGGTGGCACTCAGGCGTTGGCTCCTTGCGGATCAGACACAGGTGATCCCCGAAACATCCTTTCCCAGTGATCACCTGCGTCAGTCGGTATGAGAGGGACTCGTGACGCCTCTCGAGCCAATCCTCCATAACAGGTCTTACCGCCGCGATGACGGCGTGCCCGGCGTTCGGTTGCCCGAGTCGAACATTATTTACCTGCTTAAAATAAAATAATGTAAAACCTTTATTTTCTTTTTAAAATGGCCTAACCTCGGAACTATTACCACTATTCGATATTTGAAAAAAACATCAAAATTAAGTTTTTATTTGGCAAAGTTAACTCCAAACAGCCAATATGAATTGACATACAAAAAAACAATGGTGATTAGTCGATTCCGTGTAGTCGGCTTAGTGCACAGTCCGATAACGCCAATAATTTTATCACTCGTCCAGTATTACCGCGGTAAACTAACGGAGTACTTGTGTTTATAATTTATTGTCTGTTCGTAAAATAACAATTAGAAACTATGGACGGCGAGGGACCTTTGTACCGTTCGTGGGTTTGTTTTTTTTTTTTTAATCCAAGTATATATTCATAAGTTTGCTATAGTATATGTCTATTAGAATTTCATGACAAATAGGGAGTTAAATATTCGTACTGTCCGATACCAGAGACCGATTGATCGATTTTGACGTGACGTGATGCTTTTTATATGTAACTTTTTACTATTTGTCAAACACTCACTAGTGTTTGACAATTAGTATACTATACTATATTTATATATTTAATGCTTTATGCACAAGAAAACTGTACTAAGGTGGACTGCTATAGGCATTTTCTGCCAGTCTACCTTAGGGTGGTGTAGAAATGAGTCATTTAGGTGCACTAAAGTTTAGTAAATATGTGTATAAGACTTGACCAAGAAACACAATGGGGTCAGAAAGAGGGAATATATAAATCTTTAAACTATACAAATACATAAAATTGAAGTGTCTGTTAATAATGTCAAAATAATAGATGTTTTTCGTGCTCACACGGTTATTTGCACGATAACTATGCTCAAAAACCAGTTACAGTTTTTTTTGCCTGTCAGTCTGTCTGGTAATCTTCTAAACGGCTGGACCGATTTTGATAATATTTTACTACCAGGTTTTTGTCTATATAAGGAGTAAGTTAGGCTATTTTGCCCCTCAGAATAACCTTTGCCCGGTCCGGGAATCGAACCCACTAAGTCTGCGCTTTTCAAATACCAGCTAGTATAGAATAATATGGAATGTAGAATATACAATTTGAATAACATTACATACATAAATACCTACACAATTACACATTTACACACATTTTGGCTCTTAGTCAGTTTCTTCTTTCCCAGTTTGCTCTCTTAGTCGGCTCTTACGACACCCACGGGATGAATATGGGTGGTGACACTTCGTATTTTTAATCCGTCACCACACGTGTACTTTCAGATTCGTTCAATAGTAGAATTCTCGCCTGCCGTTTCAAATAAAATGACTATTTACATTGTTTTTGAGCAATATTTTGCTCCATCACTATCATAATCATCTTTATCGGATTTCAGACTGCCTCAGTGCTGCAGTGGTAGCATATGCGACTGCTGAGGTATCGGGTGCGATTCCCGGGTCGGACCAAACGTTTGTGTAATCTGCAAATATTTGTTTCGGAGTTAGGGTGTTTTAAATGTATGACGTGTCCGTGTGGTGACGGATTTAAAATACGAAGTGTCACCACCCATATTCATCCCGTGGGTGTCGTAAGAGCCGACTAAGGGAGCAAACTAACAACATTGCAAAGAGAAGGAAAACTTAACACAAACCCTTTTTTTTTTTTTTTTTTTTTTAACGTGTGGAAATCCCCTCGGACCGTCACCCCTCCGGGGTTTGCGGCGGGGTGGTGTGTCAGACTCGGACCGACTAAAACCACACGGTGTGCCACTCTGCGCCTGTAACAGGAGGGATCCGGGAACAGCTGTTGTTAAGACATCCGGACCCCTCCTAGCGCCAGCCCGCTCCTGGTGCGGGCTCCGTCTCAGTATATTTTTCCTCTCTTTAGGCGACGTCCGGCACACGCGGACGCCGCCCCCTCGCGGCTGGCCAACTAATGCGGGTGGAGGGGAAACCCACCCCGTCCACCCGCGGCCACACTCAGGGCGGCATGAGGCTGTGATAGGCGGACCTCCGCCGCCCGGTTCGCCGGCGGCGGATCGGGTCCGAGTGGAGGTCGTCCTCCCGGGCCCTCTCCGCCGCCTCCTTCTGCGAGATTACTACCTCGCAGAAGGTTGCGACCGCGGTAAAACAACTGTCGCTACCGGCCATGGAGCGTACTACGGCCGGTAGCGAGAGATCCACTCCGATGATTGCAGTGAGGGCCCGGCGCTGAGCCGCCCATGCGGGGCAGACCGCCAGCGTGTGCTGGGCCGAGTCCTCACTGCAGTCGCAGTGGTGGCAGGCGGGACTCAGTTCCCTCCTAGCGACCGTGTGCAGGTACTTTCCGAAGCAACCGTGCCCGGAAAGCACCTGCGTCAGCCGGAAGGAAAGGGTCCCGTGCTGCCGCCCTGCCCACTCGGCGATGACCGGCTGGAGAGCCTCCACGGCGGCGAAGCCAGCGCGTGGAGTCTCCAGCCGGAACGACCAACGAGCCATCGTGGCTCGGCGAGCGGCTTCGCGCCACTCGCGCACATCCTCGGGCGGAGGGCGAAATCCGCTCTCCGCCCGGGAGTCAGCCACTCGCCGATAAACTTCGGAGAGCACTTCCGCCTCCAAATCCCACGGGGGAGTTCCGGCCAATGCGCATGCCACCTCCGTAGTAACGGTGCGGTAACCGCGTATGGCTCTGACCGCCATTACCCTCTGAGGGCGCCAGAGGCGTACCCTATTCTGGGCGGTCAGAGCCGCCGCCCACACCGGTGCACCGTACAGCGCCATTGACCGGACAACCCCCGTGTACAGCCGTCTTGTCGCGACGCTGGGTCCACCCATATTGGGCAAGAGTCGCCCTAGGGCAGACGCAGCGCCGACCAGCTTTGGAGCAAGCTGTCGGAAGTGCTCGTCGAAGAGCTACCTCCCGTCGAGGATCAGGCCCAGATATTTCATCTGGGCCCGAACCGGTACGAGGACCGAGTTGACCACGATTGAGGCGCCAGGGGGTGGACCACGACGGGGCCCATGAAATAACAGGGCCTCCGTCTTATCTAGGGCCACCCGTAAGCCCAGCGCCTCAATGCGCCCGACCACCAGGGAGACTCCCCCTGTGGCCAGGCGCGCCGCCACTTGGAAGTTTGCCCCCCGGGCTGTACACAAACCCTATACCAACCCCTCTGTTGGCCAGACGGGTTGGTATAGGGTTTGTGTCATGTTTGTATAGTAGTAGTAGTGGTATAGTAGGCCAAAACCTCCTTTCTAAGGAGAGGCTCCAGCAGTGGACTATTGAAGGCTATTGGTGTGGTGTGGTGATATGTATGAGTATTCTATCAGTTAATCTAGCTTTCATAAAACAAGCTCTGCTTTGTTTGAAACTAGATAGCGTTGTGAGCCAGATCTTAAAAAATATTAATAAAAACATTATTATTAATATTTAATGTGGAACTAGTTATTGCCCGCGGCTTTACTCGCGTGTATATTTCTTATTTCGTGTTTCTAACTTTTACAATGATGAACAAACAACATGTTCATACCTTATTTTAGCCCTTTAGTCAATACTCCCCTTTAACCAATACTCTTTTTAAAATCGATCATTATGACTTTTTAAGTTTTTAGGACACGATTTAAAATTATCACGAAAACTAAAAAAGTCAAATTAAAAAAAAATACGTCAAGTGCGAGTCGGACTTGCGCACGAAGGGTTCCATACATGTTATATGGGGGCCTCACTTAAATATTTATTTTATTCTCTTTTTAGTATTTGTTGTTACAGCGGCAACAGAAGTACATCATCTTTGAAAATTTCAACAGTCTAATTATCACGGTTTATGAGATACAGCCTGGTGACAGACGGACAGAGAGACAGACAGACAGACGGACGGACAGCGGAGTCTTAGTAATAGGGTACCGTTTTACCCTTTGGGTACGGATTGTTTAAAACAACACAATCTTCTATGTGACACTATGGGAAATTCAAAAGCAATAAGAATCATCTTTCTTTTCAAGTTTTAGCCACTTTTAACGTTGAAACATAAACTATAATTCGTTTTTTTATTATTATAATTGTTTCTTCACATTGGGCTGGGATACTTTTGTCACAGTTTTAATTCTAGACGTATGTATTTTACGTAGTAGGCATGATTCAATGAATTTTAGTGCAATTTTGTGTATTGTTTGAGTGTAAAAGTGAATAATTACGAAATACGAAGTGCTTAAGACAATAGTTAATTAGAAAAAGTAATGACTATTAGATAACTTAGCAATTATGTACATTAAACTCAAAACTAAAGTTCGATAATCGACTGTTTGCTTTTTTTTTCACTGTATTCTTAATGACTGAATTATTCCGACTGACTCCTTTTCGTTTCATCATCATCATCATCAACAGCCTTTCATAGTCCACTGCTGGACATAAGCCTCTCCTTACAAAGAAGAAAAAAACCTTTTCGTTTATACAATATTTATTATTGGTTTAAGTAAAAAGAAATGTACGATAGGTTAACTAAACTTTTAATGGATTTAAAAAAAAGGGAGTCTGAATTTTTTTGTATTTTTTTAATGTTTGATACTCATCTTTTTGTCATTTTTTTATGGAATAGGGGGCAAACGAGCAGACGGGTCACCTGATGGAAAGCGACTATCGGCGCCCATGAACGCCTACAACTCAGGAGTCAGAAGCGCGTTGCCAGCCTTTCAGGAAGCTCATACTTCTCGCTTTATTCTATTGAAATTTGAAATACCACCCCTACCCTCCCTAGGAGTAAGGAAAAAAGTTACTAATCCAATAGCGATCGATTTGATTCGTCGACCAGTGTACTCTACGGCTTGCTAGAGTAAAAGCGCCATCATCACACTAGCGTTTGGCCAGGGTAGGCAACTTTGAAGGGGCTCTTATGACTCTCTGGGCCCCGTCGGCCTAGTGCGAGTTTCTTTCACACTAGCTGACCCGCGCAACTTCGTCTGCGTCTCTAATAGTAATAAATTTTCTCCGTTTTCGAAACATTCTTCATTGGTGCCCCGCTCCTATTTTCCTTAGCGTGATAAATGGGCTATCTAACACTGAAAGAATTTTTCAAATCGGACCAGTAGTTCCTGAGATTAGCGCGTTCAAACAAACAAACAAACAAACTCTTCAGCTTTATAATATTAGTATAGATATACTCGATCGTCACGGTGACCACGTTCAACGCTACGATTGGCCCACACTGAAATCTCCACCAATCGCAACGCTAAACGAGCTCGCTGTTGAGAGCGAGCTGATGTGAAATAAACTTGCACTCGGCCCTGATGGTAAGTGACAACCACCTGCCACTCAACAGTCACACCGTCAGCCCTTCTGTCGTGCGTTGCTATCCTCTCCTTCTAGAATTAGGAAGAAGAGGGGGCTCGAGTTGCCTAACTCAATCGGTAAAACACCAAAAAAATTGCTCGCCATAGGTTTTCGGTCGGTTGTTAAACAATCAAAAATGTTCACGCATTTCTGGTGCGATAATAGGTATTTAATAGTGGAATCATTTCGATTACGATAATGCACTTATTTTTGTATCAGATAAGGTTGTTAATTTTCGACGTTGAACAGAATAGATAAACAATAAAATGTAATGATTATTACAGATAAGATATGTAGATAAATCTACATACACCTACACACCGTTCTTTGTTTTTTTTTTATGGAATCACCATCATCATCAACAGCCCATAACAGTCCACTATAACCACTATATACCCACTATATATAACAGACATAGGCCTCTCCTTAGAAGGCCTACTATGCTACGCGTGCTGGCCAGACGGGTTGATATAGGGTTTGTTTCAAGTTTTCCTTCTCCTTGCAGTGCTGTTGTCCTGCGTAGTTTGCCCTTAGTCGGCTCTTACGACACCCACGGGATGAATAGGGGTGGTGACACTCCGTATTCTTAATTCTTCACCACACGGATAACGGATATGGAATAGGGAAGCAAAAATAAAAAGTCCGACAAGTCTTTCTACAGACTGCACGTATGATGGTCACCTCGACGCTTCCTATTGCGCTGAGTGTTGTGGGTTCCATCCCCACATGTGAAAACACTTAGTGGTATCCACAAATTGTTGTTCTGAGTCTGTGTGTCCTTTGTGTGCGTTTCATGTATGTTTTTGAAGTCCCCTGCGACACAGAATTTATTCCTAGTGCGGGAGTTGTCTTTAAATAAAAAAGATCTTCGATGTTGCCTAGTAGGTACGTGGGTTATGGAGGTCTGATGGCAATTGCTCCACGTACTAAATCGTAGTTCAGCCGTGTCGTAGTAGACCTCAACCTAGTTAGGAAAAAAAGGCTCCGAGGAAGAAGTGTGTAGGTATATGAATGTGTAAATGTATGTGTGTATATGTATACAAAACATTACTTAAAAACCTACCGCGTATTGATAGCTTATGCCTTTTATGTTCTAAGCAATCACTAAAAGAGAATTTATGGAAATTACACTCTTTCAAAAGAGGGTGAAACAAGTGGGTCATGAACAGTTTTTTTGTATATTCGTAATTTTAAAAATTAGAAACGCGTAATAAGATATAATCACGAGAGTGCAACTGTGGGCAATATCTAGTATTGTAAAAGGGAATCTTTAATGGAGGTAATCAACATTACCTATAATTTAAAACTTATAATATGTTCTGTATAAAAAAGAGCTATCTTGTTTCCTGACCTTACTGCGGGCAAAGTCCTTCATTTTAATTATGTTTGCCAATATGCAAGGTAATGCTAACATCATCAAAGATTGATGTGGCAATGGAAAAACAAATAACGCCTCTTATTTAAAGACTCGCTTTTATTTCCCGCCACTTCGTAAAATTGTCTTAACTTGAACGAAAGTTTCTCCAAACGTATGCCATAGCCCTTGGTCCCTCTGCTATCCGATATATCCCAGGTCCCCAGTCCAGAGGTGTCCCAACTGTTCTTCACCAATCTGACTGCACGGATGGCGTAATGGTTTAAGCGATCACCTCGCCGCTTTCTACTCCGCTGAGTGTCCGATCCCCACATGGGACAACACTTTGTGTGATCCACAAATTGTTGTCCTGAGTCTGGGTGTTCTTTGTGTCCGTTTCATGTATGTTTGTTAAGTCCTATCTGACCTATATGTAAACTTACCTTACTACATAAATAAATAACCTTATTGACTTGACTTGACTATAGGGAGCAGATTAGTTGTCAAAAGCAAACTATACTTTCCTTTAAAATAAATACGGTACACAATAGACTGTACCTTTTCCAATATCAATCAAATTTTTCTTGTGCAAGCAGAATGGAATCTTATGACGTGGTATTAAAACTGTTTTTGGAGTGATCTTAGGTTAGTTAGAAACAATAGCATATTATATGACTATAAATCAAACCACTTATCTGTCCGTCTAAGTATTCAATTAACCAATTGTCAATGTTATTGTTCTTGAATAGTTGACGCCAATTTAAGGATTAAACAGTGTCACGCATATTGTTTATATAATTTACTAGCTATTGTGTGCGGCGTCGTTCGCGTCAAGATCATATTGTCTTCCTGGCCTCGTACAGAAACTCTTTCATGAATAACACAATAACACTAAACTACCGTCCGTGGTCCGTGTGGTGACGGATTAAGAATACAGAGTGTCACCACCCCTATTCATCCCGTGGGTGTCGTAAGAGCCGACTAAGGGAAAAAACTACGCAGGACAACAGCACTGCAGAGAGAAGGAAAACTTGACACAAACCCTATACCAACCCGTCTGGCCAGCGTGGTATAGTAGGCCAAAACCTCCTTTCTAAGGAGAGGCTTATGTCCAACAGTGGACTATTAAAGGCTGTTGATGATGATTGATGACTAAACTACTAGATCGACAGACCGTCGGTCTAGTAGTTTGGTGACCCTAATTGCTAAGCCGGAGGTTGTGGATTCGATTCACACCCATGATAAATAATTTGTGTTATTTGTTTTGTTGTCTGGGTGTAATTTATCTATAATATGTATGTATTTGGAAATATTTAAGTATGTTTATCAGCAGTCTGGTTACAATAGCACAGGCTCTACCTAGTTTGAGATCAGACGCCTGTGTCTGAGATCTGTAAAGTTTTTATTATGAATTGTATGGGAGTGCATAAAATACGAATTAATAAACATGGCTTTTTTACTGGTTTTTTTTTCTCAACATGTTTGACTTTGTTTTTTGCTCATTGTTCCTACTATTAAAACTTTTTCTCTCTCAAGTTATACCTATCAAGTTTTACTTAATATCAAATAAAATATTTCCTTGAGGTCCATAAAGTGTCTGAGAATAAATTGACTGCACGAATGGCGTAGTGGTTTAAGCGGTCGCCACGCTTACTACTACGCCGAGTGTTGTGAGTCCGATCCCTATATGGGACGACACTTTGTGTGATCCACAAATTGTTGTTCTGAGTCTGGGTGTTCTTTGTGTCCGTTTCATGTATGTTTGTAAAGCCCCCCGCGACACAGGATATATTTCTAACGCGGGAGTTGTCTCCTCACCAAACCAATAAAATACGCGATAATTGTGTAGTAAGTGTATTGTTTTGTATTAAAAACATATCATAATGTGGTAATAATAACAATTTTACACATCTCACAGATGGCAGTGTGATCCAAAAACTAAGCAAAACCTGTGCTTTGGCCCCCATCATAGTTGTAGACTTGGTTGCATGAGCTTCGCCTCTATCCCCCTAGATAAATTCCTTTGCATTTCGAAAATTTGCCAAATCCTTGATCATTTCAGACTTCAAGATTTTATATTAATCACATCAACATCACATCAAGAGCCTATATTAGTCCACTCCTGGACATAGGCCTCTCCTTAGAAGAGAGGTTTTGGCCTACTATACCACGCTGGCCTGACGGGTTTGTGTGAAGTTTTCCTTCTTTTATATTAATTTCATTTTTTTATATTAATCGGTCTTTAAATTAATTAAAACCATTAAAAGTAGATAACGGTCACTTTTAACTTAAGTAGGTAGCACGCTGTGAACGGTATGTGGAGAAATCATCGTAAAAACTAAATATTTTCCATGTTTATCTTCAGATACGTAGCCATCAGCGCACTCCCTCTGGTTCCCGAGACTTCAAGGAAGCGACCAAGCGTGATGCACTCGCTCGTTTGGCGGTGGATCTCGAGCGCCTGATCGCATCAGTGCCAGAGAACAAGCGGCCGCATGTCGAGAAGGAGTTCAAAGGGTTCAAGAACCTTTTTAGTCGATTTTTGGCGGAACGTAAGTTACCTGTGCTTTATTTTTTTATTGTTGAGTCTTTCGTTTGACATATGTCATTTTGAATGTTTCTTTGCTCATGATTGATCTATAAAAGCTAAGTGTTGCCATCCATAAGTAAATGCAGTTACCTGTTTAAAAAGTCTGATAGAAATTCGAAGTTTAAAGGAAAGCTACGCCAAACTGCTTGCTCAAAAGTATTTATCATCAACCACCATCATCAACAGCTTTCAATAGTCCACTGCTGCACATTGACCTCTCCTTGGCAAGGAGGTTTTGGCCTACTATACCACGTTGGCCAGACGGGTTGGTATAAGGTTTGTTTCAAGTTTTCCTTCTCTTTGCAGTGCTGTTGTCCTGCGTAGTTTGCTCCTTTAGTCGTCTCTTACGACACCAACGGGATGAATAGGGATGGTGATACTCCGTGTTCTTAATCCATTACTGCACGGATACGTATTTATGCACACTGGTAATCTCTTATTACCCTTTAATAATTCCCACCAGTAATCTCATTCTCTCGGTGAAAATCGTTAAAAATACCGTTTATCACCAGTTTTTGTGAGACCACGGCAACCTTCGGTTACTAATTTATCACCAGTTATTATCTGATGGGTGTGTCAGTAGAGCTGTTGTCAGAAGGCCAATTTTTTACTATCGCCGATAATCATGACATGACATATTGTGCTGTAGATAAATAAGACAGTTTAGCCCATATCGGTCATTAGTTAAGGCCTTGTTTTAGATTTAGATTAGACTAGCTGGTACCCGACTTCGTTCGATTCCCGGACCGGGCAAAGGTTTTTCTAAAGGAAAAATAGCCTAAGTTACAGCTTATGTAGACAGCTACCTGGTAGTAAAATACTATCAAAGTCCAGCCGTTTAGAAGATTACCCGGAAGAAACAGACAGCCAGACAAAAAAAAAAGGTTTTTAGGCATAGATATCGTGCAAATAATCGTGAGAGCATGAAAAACACCTATTATTTAGGCGTTACAACAGACACTTTACAATTTTATTTATTTGTATAGAAGATTAGATGTGTAAGCATGATTTGGCATAACATTTTCGTCACGTTAAGAGTTGAGTCCTATCTAGAAGCCAAGCGTGTTAAATCAAATCAGACGCTGCGATTATTAACCGACTTCAAAAAATAAGGAGGTTCTATGTTCCACTGTATGAATTTTTTTTTCTATTTTATTATATGTTTGAACAAAAATAAAAGAATCCCTGATTTCCGTGCCTTCGCTCGCGTAATATTTTTGTTTTTTATTTTATTATATTTTTAAATAAAATAAAAACTAGCTAATTTCCATGGCTTCGCTCGTGTGAATATTCTTTTATTTTATTTTTTCTATTTTTAAATCAAAATAAAATAAATAAACTTGATGTTTTCCGTGGCTTCGTTCGATTGATTATTTTTCGAAAATGACGAACTTCCTACAATCGTTCAAACCTTATTTTACCTCCTTAGGGGTGGAATTACCAAAAATCCTTTCTTATTGTTTACAACATAAAAAGCATCAGCTGTTAAAGTTTATAGATTCCGATCAGAATCCGATTCCGAACCCGTTAAAATACGGTCCGAAGTAGTCGTAGAACTATTCCTATGGTAGTTTACTCACTACATCCGATTTCTTTCCGTTATCCGTGAATCTCCATTTCGGAGAAGATTATTGCCGTACCAAAGCAGCTAACCTATTATTTGTATGAACGCACCCAGAATTCTGTACTTGTTCCGTGTAGTTCGTACGTACAATAGCATTACCCGAAGTCGACGTCGATGGAAGAACTCATGATCAACAACATGAACGCTCTGCTGAGTCTATGCGTAAAATGACGTATGATAAAGGTGACCCCTGAATCGCTTGTAAGTCAGACTTAAAATCCGTAATCACGGATCAGAAATCTGAGGCTCTGCGTTGATGACTCAGTCAATCAGAGCAAGTTATTTATATGTATAGACTTAGATAAGAGGGGGAGTGGATTTGATGATTGTCAAACTCTTCCAAATGATTAGTTTATTGATTGCCACAATTTTCTCTGCTGATTGATTTCCTGGGCCTCAATTCTGCTATTACGCCAAGCCAGTGTCATACCACTGACACGCTATTGAGATGCCATCGAGTAGCCATTGGCATCGGTATAAATATCGGTAGTTAAAAATATATTACGTTTTTTGAGGAAATGATTTGATTTGTTTTTATTATAATAAATTATTAAAAGAAATAAATAAATTAAAATAACTTATTAAAAAATAAAATAAAAAAAAAGAAATAAATAAATTAAAATAAGTTATATAAAATATAAAAATTATAAAAAAAGAAAGAAATAAATAATTGATGATGATGATGATGAAATAAATGTGTGATCAGCATGATCATCTGTTCTGTCTGGGTGTACTTTATCTGTGGTATGTATATATTTAGAAATATATATAAGTATGTTTATCAGCAGTCTGGTTACCATAGCACAGGCTCTGCCTAGTTTGGGATCAGACGGCTGTGTGTAAGGTGTGTGAAGTTAACATTATTATCTTTGCAGAAGTTTAATTCCTAATTATCTTCCTTCCAGAGGGTCCATCGGTAACATGGGAGAAAATAGAGAAGCTGCCAGAAGGAGCTGTAATCGACTACTCCAGTTTGCTCACGCCCACCACGGATAATGTACACCACATGTTGGACAAATTAGTTGTGGTAAAGCTCAATGGTGGGTTGGGTACTTCCATGGGGTGTAAAGGGCCTAAGTCTGTGATACAAGTGAGAAATGATCTCACGTTTTTGGATTTGACTGTGCAGCAGATTGAGGTAAGACCATTTTTAAATAGTTCAAACTAGTCGTGGATTCGAGAGCGACATTAGACTATAGTTCATAAAAGACTACACGGATGGCGTAGTGGTTTAAGCGTTCGCCACGCTGCTTACTACTGCGTTGAGTGTTGTGGGTTCGATCCCCACATGGGACGACACTTTGTGTGATCCACAAATTTTGTTCTGAGTCTGGTTGTTTTTGTTTCCGTTTCATGTATGTTTGTAAAGTCCCCCGCGACACAGGATATATTCCTAGTGCGGGAGTTGTCTTTCTAAAAAAAAAGACCAATAACAGTAACCTTCAATGAAGGCCAGGGAACATCTCTATTTGTAACTGACTTCAGAAAAAGTGGAGTTCCTCAATACGTTGCCATTTTTTTAATAATTACTACCAATGTCAGCTTTTACCCGCTTTCATTTAATATTTTTTTACTTTTGTTACTTTTAATGGAATCTTAGTAATTCGAGAAATTTTAAAAAGAAAATAAATTACAGGACATAGTGTATTGTTCAACTGTGTTATAGGATCTATACAAACTGTGCTTAGTTTGGGTCGAGACAGCGAAGTGTAGTTACTCCCAAAAAATATTTAAACAGCATTTTTTTTCTCTAGCATCTGAACAAAACCTATAAATGCAACGTACCTTTGGTTTTGATGAACTCATTCAACACTGATGAGGACACGCAGAAGGTGATCAGGAAATACCAGGGTCTAAAGCTAGAGATCCATACCTTCAACCAGTCCTGCCACCCCAGGATCAATAGGGAATCCCTGTTGCCTGTACCCAGACACCATGATGTCCAGTCTGATATCGACGCGTGAGTATTATGGATTTTGTTTATTTATCTAAAAAATCTTGAAGAGTTACATGATTACTGAGTTTAAATCAGAGACTTACGCCATCCTTTACTTAAGGGAACGTACCCATGATACTCATGACCTTTTTAAAAAAAACATCTACCCTGCTTCCCCGCATGCTGACCAGCTGTTGCCAAGAATTTATTTTCAGTCTTTTTTGGAAACATAGATTAAAAAAAAATTGGCTTATATTCGACGACTGGATAACGTAGTGGTTTGTGTAACGGACTGCTATTCCAAAGGTCGCAGGTTCGATTCCCGCTTAAGTCAAACATTTGTGTGCATGAACATTGATTATAAATTTTAATTTTAAGCTCACGCCTAAAATTATGTTTTATTTTTATTAATCACTGTTTTTTTCTAGATGGTACCCCCCTGGCCACGGAGATTTCTATGAGTCCTTCTACAATTCCGGCTTACTCCAAAAGTTCATCAAAGAAGGCAGAACATACTGCTTTATAAGCAATATCGACAATCTTGGAGCCACTGTCGACCTCAACATCTTAAACCTACTCCTCAACCCGGATCCCCAAAAGATCATCTCAGAATTCGTCATGGAAGTCACCGATAAGACCAGAGCTGACGTTAAAGGTGGTACCCTCATCCAATACGAGGATAAACTCAGACTGCTTGAGATAGCCCAGGTTCCAAAAGAACACGTGGACGACTTCAAGTCTGTCAGCCAATTTAAATTCTTCAACACCAATAATCTGTGGGCTAAACTTGATGCTATCCAAAGGGTAGTGGAACAGGGTTCCTTAAATATGGAAATTATCGTCAATAACAAGCATCTTTCTGACGGCCTGAACGTTATCCAGCTGGAAACTGCTGTAGGTGCAGCGATGAAGTGCTTTGAAGGTGGAATAGGAGTCAACGTACCCCGAAGCAGGTTCTTGCCTGTAAAGAAGACGTCAGATCTTCTGCTAGTGATGTCCAATCTGTACAGTCTGTGCCACGGGTCGTTAGTGATGTCCCCACAAAGGATGTTCCCATCTACTCCTTTGGTGAAGTTGGGTGATAATCATTTCGCGAAGGTCAAGGAGTACTTGAACAGGTTCGCGACGATACCAGATTTGATTGAGTTGGATCATTTGACTGTTTCTGGGGATGTTACTTTTGGAAGAGGCGTTTCTTTGAAGGTGAGTTTAGCAAATTTAGTTTATAATTAAGTATATGTGGCGACCACGTACCGGTACCTACAAGGTAGTCCGACAACCTTGAAGGTCGCGGACACTCAATGAATGCGGGCAGCACAGGACCGGTTGTTGTGGACAGCCTTGGGGGAGGGCTATGTCCAACAGTGGACGTCTTTCGGCTGAGATAATGATGGTGTTGATATGTGGTTAGTTTATATCCTTGACCTCGTGGCCTGTCTGTTCACAGGACGAGCATTCCTCTTTTAGCTGCTGCTACCACAGTCCCTTTCTCTCTTTGCAAAATTATATGTTGCCCTGGTCCCGAATAGAATAAGGAGATCGGCAGTAAGTTTTTCTATGGTACAAGGGTCAAACGAGCTGACAGGTCAGCTGATGTTAAACTACCAGCACCAGGATATGCAACTCAAAAAAGACAAGTGCAATGCCATCCTTTGAGTGTTTTCTCCCTCCAGAATGGGGAGGGGGAGGTCAGGAAACAAGTGGTGGGGATTTTTGAAAATTTTGCCGTGTCGAAAGGTGCCGGAAAGTTGCGGCCGGTATTAGTCCGACCAATTCCTCGGAGCACTCTCCATGATTTATACAATAGAGAATGCAGAGTGATGCTACATCTCTATGTAACGCCAAGGGATCGAACCGAATGGAGATCTTTTGGCTACGACGATTCGAGTCGCTCTTCGTTGGATGCGGTCCCAAGGGAGAAGCTGGTACTGGGGTGCCTCTACTTAGAGTTGAGTCAGTATTCCATATGCGGCTGGATTTGCGCCTTATAGAGTTGGAGGCGGTAGGCCGGAGTGAAATACTGCCTCGATCACTTAAGCACACTGAGCTTCTTCGAGGGTAATTAATAACTTCACTAATAACTAGCACCGGTTTTCAGTGAGGACTTGGTATCACTATGATCGAGGCTGGCCCCTTTGTGCCGGATCACGGCTCTCTCACGTGATGATCATATGAATTAGGTTCATACAGAAGTTGTTCATCATGCCTGGTGTAGTGCTGCATTAACGCTGTGATGAACGCACATATTAATATATGCTCAAATATTGATTTACATTTTGTTCCTATTTCAGGGTACGGTGATCATCATAGCGAACCACGGTGATCGTATAGATATACCATCTGGTGCTGTACTGGAAAACAAGATTGTGTCAGGAAACCTTCGTATCTTGGACCACTAGACTATTTTTGAGACCTGACAATGGCTCCAATATCCAGAATTACCTCTAATCTCAGTTTTATTGGGATACGCACATTTACACAGACCTGACTCGACATGTTCCGGCCTATTGATAGTATGTTCCACACCCAGATCAACATGTTCCTGACTTTTGTTGAAAGTTTCTTGAAGTTTGAGGCGGTTAAGTCGTCGGACTTGTGATCAAATGGTTTACTGGTACGAACCCCAACTAACTACTTACGTAAACTCAACCCACTGTTAGCGAAAGCTTTTGGAGGGGTTAGCAAGAATACTAGTAATGTGTGGCCACGTTCATTCTTAAATAGATATGTATTTCTATACGTCGTAAAACCGTTTATGAATTTCTTTAAATAAATATTCATCAAACATGATTTGTTTACACATGTTCCGAAGACCACAAACAATAAGGTCTGACTCCAAAACTAAAAATCAGGTCAAATTTTAAAACCTTAAATTAATATTTTTTCTTAAGTTATCATGTTTTAGGGCTTATACAACTGATTACAAACTTCACTCAAAGTGTTCCTAATCATTATGTTCCGGCCTCTAACCAACATGTTCCGGACTGAAACTAACATGTTCCGAATGAATTTACTGCAGAACTGTTACTTATGTTTTAGTTTTGATATTTTTGTTTATTTAGAAATAAGTTAAGTTTTAATAATAATATAAGTTTGTTAAAGTACACTTTAATCAGGTGGGTCATTGTTTTTTTTTAAATATCAAAAAGATGACGTTTGTTCTGCTTTGAGCGTCATTTATTTGACAGTAAACGGTACGAATTTAAAGGCCTAAACAGACGGTCTGCATTTAAGGTATATCCTGGACTTTTAGTATCTAACCTGGGCATATTAAAGGACTTGCTAAATAATGTTTATTAATATATAATTAGCTAAACCAATTAAAAAAATATTGAGTTGTCGTGTAACATCTTTTCTGTCGCTTTTCTGGACCGTGGCAGTTGGCGAAAATGTGTGACGGGAAATCCAGAATGCGCGTTTATGAACTTGACCTATGAACGCTCACGGTAAAGTTCACCTTCAGATGGTGACTTCTCAGTTACCTTCTGACGGATGACGTGTGACATCAGTGTGACGTCAGGTGCGACACTTTTGTGTTTTAGTAACGACATTTTCTTTTCAAATTATGATTACAACGTTCGCCTTTTACATGATAATAATTGAGCTATTTTTTGTATATTAACTTAACTAGTTAAATTTATGGGACAGGTTAATTTATTTTTCCAATATCGACAAATTTACGGAAGAAATTAATTTTTAAATACGCCAACAATATATTCCTCACCGTTAAAAACAGACGGCGTCTGTTTAGTCTTTTAAAATACTGAATATGAATATATGAATGAATGAAAAATAAATATAAATAAAAAAAGAAAAAACGTTTTGAGACCCTTTCTTTACGAATAATTCCGCTGGGAGCATATTAAGGTAAAAATCAATAAAGTAAAAATTATTTATATAAAATTATTTACACGTAATATTTATAAATATGTACATTTTTTTATTTATTATGTTCTTATAATTTTTTTAATGAAAATTATATTTTGTTAATGTTATTCTTTTGATGTTAAATTGTACAGTTCGCAAAAACATCGTAACAAATTTCATATATTATGTTTTTATGATATAAATTTAAACCGCTGAATGTAGCACTAATTCGGAAAACCAGGTGTGAGCAGCTTCCTCAAATTTTCATTTTTCAATGAAGTACAATATTTTTGTAATCGATTTTATTTAAACCAACTATAAAAAAGACGATAGCTATGTGTTTTGTTTTATTTATTTATTTCTTATGAAAACTAATAAATGAGCAATGAGAATTAATAGTCTTTTTTACTATTCTTTTTGATTACTGTATTTGGATAATCGTACTTATTTACTACAAAAGTAAAGTTTTTAGCGGACTTCAAAAGAAAAGAGGTGGTTCTCAATCCGTCTGTGTGTTTTTTATGTTTGTTATCCAAGAACTCTCTCTAAGAATCTAAGAACAGAAAAAAAAACAGTCCATCAATGACGTGATGAACTGATTTGTTTTTTTTTTATTTGATAGGTAATACTTAGAGCGGTTTAGCACTACGTCCGATCCCAATCCGATCCGAACCCGTAACGGGATCTGGAAATCTTGGACTGAATTCTAATATTGCTTTTCGTAGTACTTCCGATTGATTACGTATTTAGAAGGCTGACTGACTGATTGAATTCGTATATTGTTAACGCACTATTGCGATTTTTAAATCTAATCCAAGCAGTTCTGGGGCAGTTCTAAGCACCTTTTAGCACACGGCATTTTACCTTGAGTTGTTTATGAGTTCTTTGGCGTCAAATTCTTGTACGTGCGAACGATACAGAAGAAATAAAGAATTCTGGGTGCGTTCATACAAATAATAGGATAGCTACTTTGGTCCATATTCTTCGCTACTTAACAATTTTACTTTAAGCTTGGTGGTTAGTGATCCTGAGATCTTAAGTCAGAAGTCAAAGGTTTGATTCCACCCAGGACAAATAATTGTGTGAAAGCACAGTTTTTTTTTATGCGTTCATACTAATAATAGGATAGCTACTTTCGTCCGCCAATAATCTTCTCCGAAATGGAGGAGGATGGATGGATTCACGGAAAACGGAAGGAAATCGGATGTAGTGAGTAAACTACCATAGAAATAGTTCCAGTGACTACTTCGGACCGTATTTTCACGGTTTCGGATCGGATTCTGATCGGACGTAGCTCCACCCCAATTAGGACCATTAAGTAATGAGGAATACAGTTTCCTACAATATAATAATTATATGTTCTAGACTTAAACGTGGAACATAAAGATAGAGGGCGCCACAAAAAAGAAATAACTCTGTTAATACCATTTAAAAGACGTTAGTAATAATATAATTCGTCATAGTCGGATAATGCTGACATTTATTGAACTTTACAGTGAAGCCATTTCATGCACCAGGGACTTCCTTTCTAGGGTATACCTGGTTGCCCGGCTATTAGTACCCGAGACGGCGTGCGGTTTTAGTCGGTTCGATTTCCGCACGAAAAAAAAAGGGCAGCCATTTCAAATTATTTTATTTTTTTGACATAACTTCTTCAATTCTAAATCTGTAGTTAAAAAAATAGGGTTTGTTTTAAAATGCAATAATATTACTAATAAGTATACAAAAAGGAAAATCACATGCTTCAGTTAACTATGAGCGCCTATCAAACAAACACTGAATAATTTTAAAATCTTAAATACATATAATTTTGTCTTGAATGTAGTAATATTATTTATCCATGTAGTATCCAAATCTGGTAAAACTGAATTTCGTATTTTTTACAAAACCGACGTTATTCTACGATCATAACGAATTGATGATGCATTATTAAACTTATTTAAAGTTTAAATGGAGATACTTTCATTTGTCTCACACAACCGTTTGGCACTTTTTAATTTTTTTTTTTCGTGCAGAAATCCCCTCGGATACCACCTATCGGTGGCATGTCGGACTCGAACTCACTAAAACCGCACGCCGTCTCGGGTACTAATAGCCGGGGAACCAGGTATACCCTAGAAAGAAAGGAAGCTAGACAAACCCTGTACCATGGTAACCAGACTGTACATGGTAAACATACTTATATAATACTAAATACATTTCTGTTGGGAATCGAACTCATCACTTCAAAATCCTCTGCATTGATTAGCCTATCAAGTTTTCATATTATTGTCTCTAGGTAGGTCGTGCAAAAGAAAAGAAGAACTCTGTGAAACGACTGTATTTTATCTGTCATACAAAAGTAAACACGATTCTCGAACTAAAATCTAGATGGCGTTAGATACCCGCTCAGTGTTGCCACCTTATAAAATATAGCGTAGTTAATATTGTAATAGTCAATGAAATATAGGTAATAATTATTGGTGGTTTATTTAAAAATAACAATCAATGGAAAGAAAATGTTATCAAATATTGTATAAGTACGTATTTAAATAATTATCAGTAGTACACGTGATTGGATAGCAATAATAATAAATATTTATTGTTTTTAAAAACATTCACTATACAGCGATACTGTTGTAATAAATATGTTTCATTGAATATAACTTATTTCATTTCATAGTTCATTTGTCTGAATCTGTTTTTTTTTTTTTTTTTAAAGACAACGCCCGCATTAGGAATCAATCCTGTGTCGCGGGGGACTTTACAAACATCAAGAAACGGACACAAAGAACACCCAGACTTAGAACAACAATTTGTGGATCACACAAAGTGTCGTCCCATGTGGGGTTTGAACCCACAACACTCGGCGTAGTAGGAAGCGGCGTGGCGACCGCTTAAACCACTACGCCATCCGTGCAGTCTTTTCGTGCATTTAACAGCCACTAGAAAAATATCGAGGTCGAATTTTCCCCCTTAAATCGTTACCAATTAACCTACTGTGGTGTTGTCGGCAGAAAAGTAATTACATTAGTAACTAGACTTTTAAGTTAGAGGTGTCCATGGGTGGCTTCAATCCCTTACCATCAGGTGACCCGGTGTTTGTTTGCCCCCTGTACTTTTACATAACATCATGGAACGCGAAAGTTTCTCATACATTTGCGATTTGGTAAATAAAATTCGAATGCTTACAACAACACAATAATTTTATTAAAAAAACGTAAAAAATAAATGCTTAATATTTACAAATTATAAAACAAATAATATTAGTTACTTTGTTATTTGCAACGTTTCAAAGTAGCGAGTGTATGGGCGGGAAACCGAAAAAGTGTCCATTTTGAAATAGTAAATAATAGTTAATATCCGGCGAAAATGGCGCTAGTGTAGGTATATCATGATTTTAACAGTTACAGACAGATATATAAGCATAGAGAGAACACGGGTACAGCTGTCTGTAAGTGAAAGCGATACAGGCAACGAGAGAGATGGATGCTCGATAGTTCCTTCCGTCTCTGTTTAGCTAAGCTGCGATTGGCTATCGTAAAGCGAGCATGGTTTTGATCGTAAAACAGACGAGAGTTTAAAAATTTCCCCAGCCAACCGCAGAGTTCGATTAGAAAGAGATGGAGGGAACCATCTAATATCCATCTCTTTCGTTGCCTGTATTTCAAAATTGGGGCTCTTGTTCACTCTATGGTTATAGTTGGAGTGTAGTGTGCCAAGTTAAAATAGATTTATTGCCATTTGAAATATTAATATTTTCACGTAATATTTTTGGATTATAAAAAAATACGTGATATTCTTCATGTTTCTTCTTACCTCTATACTCTATATTATTAAACATTAAATCGGACAACACATTTTAATAAATTACTATAACTACCGCTCGCTACAAATAAATAAGTTTTGATGTTAATGTTAGATAAATACTCATATCAACTGGTCCTAATCTAATCTAGAACATGTGATGATAAGTAATTGTATTGATTTTTACCTGATTGATTTTCACATTCCGTGTGGTGAGGAATTAAATATACAGTGTCACCACCCCTATTCATCCCATGGGTGTCGTAAGAGCCGACTAAGGGAAAAAATACGCAGAACAACAGCACTGCAGAGAGAAGGAAAACTTGACACAAACCCAACCCGTCTGGCCAGCGTGGTATAGTGGGCCAAGACCTCCTTTCTAAGAAGAGGCCTATGTCCAGCAGTGGACTATTAAAAGCTGTTGATGATGATGATGATGATTTTCACACGTTACCCACTTGTGAAATCGCACTTAAAATTTATGACGAGAAAGAAGTGCAGACAGATAATATTTTAAACAACATTACCAAGTGAACACATGACCTCCATATGACGTCATAGGGAGGTCATAGACAGATCAATGAATGTTTACATAAATATGACTATTGATGACTTTGATATGATGTCATATAGTATGACGTCATCAGTTTGACATAATTGTGTTCATTGGAATATCTGATTTCGTACAACCTGATGATATCACTCACTCACACCACCCTGCTTTCCTTTTCCTTTCTCTCTGTCTGTATCTCTGTAATGTTCTTATTTAATATCTTTAATATATTATACTAGCATTTGCCCACGGTTCCATTCGCATCGGTCGGTTATAGCGGTAAAAATTAGCTTATGTTACTCGCTGATAATTTAGCTTTACGATGGTAAAAATCGGTACTGGTTTAGGCGTCAAAGCGTAACAAACAAACAAACTCACTTTTACATTTAGGATTTAAGTATGGATGGATAACCTTCACATTACAAAATAGTTTGATTTTTTAATCCGTCTGCAAGGTCCCGTAAACCAATATACTCAGCAGTAAAAACTTCGTGTGTTTTTTTTTTAAATAAACGTCTAGGAATCAATGTTTCTTCCAGAGATTATAAAAGTAGACATAATAACGATTTTTAACATATATCCTAAATCAAAATTCTGTGCTCCGTTCTTTCGGCGGCCCCGGTATTTTGCTTGCAATTATGCTGGTTATGGCAGCTAAAAGAGCTAACAATGCGCTGGTAGCGCTTGCGCTCCACAACGACGGGTGGTGTAATAGACACGCTCCCTCGTCCGGATACACACACGTTAAGTCTGGAAAAAAAAAGTCTGTATTAAAAATTGTCTATTGTGACAGCAAGGTCAACAAAAATAATTTAAACTGAACTTCTTTTGGCTGAAATTCTAATTAAAGTATAAGTAATATAACTTTTTGCTTGCTTTTAATAAAAATAAATATATGGTTTTGTTTTTTTAAAGGACAATCTCTCTTGACATAACCTTAAATGCCTGGGATCGTGTTCAGCGCGTGGCCATGACATGTTTTAGGGTAGAGCAAAACCAGGAAAGTATATAATATTCCGCATAATTATATTAATGTGCTGTGTAATTAATGTGGGATTGGTAGTTCGCTAGATGTGACTTTCTTATGTGTTTGACGACAATGACGTCACAATAGAAAAGTTACTCACAACTAATAGCCATGTAGAGCAAATTCCCGAGCACAAACGCTAATAGTGCCACTACAGCGTATGTAGTGCCCACTGCGATCGCCTTGTCGGCTGGGCGAACCGCTCGGAGTATCGCCATTCCGAACATCATGAAACTTGCTCCTGGAATTGAAACAGCTATAAATTAGTATCTGTAAGTTATAGATAACTGTAAAATAATTTTATTTCAAATGCTGAAGCATTTTAAATAAATGAAGGTGCAAGGTCTGGTGAGTATGGCGGATGAGGGAGAGCTGCCAACCCCAGCTCTTGCAGCTTGGAGACTGTCTGTTGCGTAGTATGGGGTCGCGCGTTGTCGTGAAGGAGCAGTGGGAACGACCGATTGACATAAGTTGGTTGCAGATGTGACCACCAGACCTTGCACCTACCGACTATTACTTTTTCCAAAATTTTGACAACTTTTTAGTGGGTAAAAAATTAAATTCCCGAGAGGCAGTACAAAATGCCTTTGAAGAGTTTGTTGCTTCCCGCCAAGCTGATTTTTACAAGAAGAGCATCAGTAAACTGCCAATGCGTTGGCAAAGATGCGTCGATTGCATGGGTGATTACTTCGAATAACAGAAATAAAAAAAAAATAAAAAATAAGTACTTTCACTTATTGCATACAAAACGGCAATTTCATAGGTAAAGACCTATTATTTAAACAAATATGCGTCGTCTAACGAGTAAACTTGATTTAAGGGACAACATGTAAAGTTAAAAAAAACTTTTTTATAACCTATAAAAAGAGACAAGAGGTAAAATGCGAGCAAAATAGAGACTAAACCTTTAATTTAGCTTTCGAGGGAGGTACTGGGTGCTGAATACTCACCAGATACAGCCAACATGACAGTGTAGATCACCTGGTAGGCTCCGAAGGCTGTGCGGCACGACAGCAGCGAGCACGCGCCGCGCACAGCGCGCAGCGTCTCGGTGCTGCACGTGCAGTTCTGGAGTAGGCTATCACAATTTAAAAAATAGTTAGAATAATAATTTATTACGTGTCATAGGCAGATAAATTGTAGATAAAAAAATTACTAATTTAGGACTAATTTAGTTAAAAAAAAAAAATCTTTTTTTGAATAAGACAGCCTGTGTCGCGGGGGACCTTACAAACATACATAAAACGGACACAAAGTGTCTTTCCATGTGGGGTTTGAACCCACAACACTCGGCATAGTAGAAAACTGCGTGGCGACCGCTTAAACCTCTACGCCATAGCGTTGTAAAGGCCTTTCAAAAACATTAATATTTCAGAAATATTAAAAAGCTACTTTTTGTTGAAGTCAACATGTTATGTTATGTTATATGCGAGGAATTTAGAAGGAAAAATTACTCGGCTAAAAGAGCTCTGGTACACCGACATGACAAATATCAGAGGAAATACAAAATTCTTAAAACAAAAGGACTTGTATGAATTTGTTACTCGTTTAAGACAATTTTTTGGGGAATTTCATGCAAGTTGGATAAGGTAGGTACACTCTAATACATAAAACCCTAAATTTGAATGTCTACGTTAAGTTGGAAGTAAAATAAACTTACAGGATCCCATTGAGATCCTCGGCTTCTGCACAGCCAGCGTTGCAGGGGGAGAAGAATGTTGCGTCGATGTCTACAGCGCAGACAGGACTGAACCCATACCTCTCCGAGTTACATCTGAAGTTATAGTTTTTATTACAAACCTTCCATCTTATTCCTATAATAGTGGGAATAAAATTATAGAAGACAAAATGTGTTTTTTTTTAATTGACAACTCCCGCATTAGGAATATGTCCTGTGCCGCGGGGGACTTTACAAACTTACATGAAACGGACACAAATAATACCCAGACTCAGAACAACAATTTGTGGATCACAACACTCTCTCTTAAACCACTACGCTATCCGTGCAGTCAATTAATTAGCCCCTACTTAAATCAATTAATCGCAAAAGTTTAAAGTGCGACCATTTCTTTTGAATCAAAATTAATACCAATGGTGCTAATTCTGCTGTTGGCACAACTAAACTAAAAAAAATCTAAAATTATCTTATTTTAGTGAGGCGATTTCCAAAATGCTATTCTATTGTCAAGTCAAACTAAATTTGGTACAAAATTTTTGAATCTGACATCTCTAAAAGTTAAAAAGGAAAGTGTTACTGTTGCTTAAAATTAAGAATGATTGAAATTGAGAGAATTAACAAATCTTTTGAAATTATATTTTAAGGATTTTAAAATGCCTGTAAATGAATATTAATGCATGTATTTAGATCAAATAGTAAACAAGATGTTGTATTTCTTAGTTATAGCTAAGGAAATACAGTTTCACGCAGTTCACATACCTGGCAACCCGCGGTAAACATTTTTCCATTTCTGTGTGACGCATGTATGTACCCATGATAAAATAATGATTTTATAACAAAATAATTAACGAACAATAACATCAATCCAATTGAAAATGAATAAATAAGCTAGAGCATAAAATTAACTAGTAAAAGGCGGTGCTTTCGGAAAGCCTCGCAATGTTTTCAACCTACTAATAATTTGCAAGACGGTTTTTTTAAGCGAATTATCTCTTATTATGTGAATATTGGGAGATATAATACCGTGGGAGAATTCTTCGGCAAAAATGGGCCGGCTCGACCAATGCGATGCCACGCAATGAATTTCTCTGTTGCATTTCGCCGAGTGAGTGAGGTTTCCGGGGCCCAACCCCCCATACCCCTCCCCCCTCATGATAGCGTCGTTGGAAAATATTCTACTCCAAGGGGGTACCAACTGCGTTAGCGTTGGAGAATCCCCATAAAAATGCATAGATTTATTGCTATATTTTTTAAATTTCTTTTTGTAAAAAGCCAAACACTTGTACCAGTTTGGTAGCTCCCTTAAGAAAAAAATTGGAATTTAGGTAAAACTTGAAAATTAGGTTCAATGTGACGCGTAGTATCCCTAAGGTAAGCTCTAGACCTAAAAACCTAGGTAGCCTAAAAAGTTTATGAAATTTCTCCGCTATCTCAAATGGATTGAAGTTGTCTTAAATATGTTAAAAGAGTTTTTTAGTTTCTAAAAATAATAATAATAAAAATATGATGCCCATACCTTTCTATTAAACTAAACACAGGCTAACCATGTAATCACCATTCATTATAAATTAGAATGCAACGAAATTTTAAGAATTTATACTTAAACAGTATAATCAACAAATTAGTTCTTGTGTGTTTAGATAACTTCTAATTTTAATCAATCTTTGACGATTAAAACGTACAACAGAATAACAATGATGAATATAGACTAAATTATGTAACTTAACTAATTATGGTTGTGTCTAACTAAATTAATTAATTAATTTATTTATTTCCATTAAAAACAACTATCATTACAGGTTTAGCCCAATGCGATAGTGTTATACCATCTACTTATTCATTATAAGAAATAATTTTTAATGCTGTTATTGTGAATATACTCAGTAAGCAATATAATAAATCTATCTCATCCGCAATTATATAGATAAGTATAAATAATAATATAATTATATAGTTAAGTCCTACGTTGTTGGACAGGACTAAACAAATTTTCAGTTATTTTTAGTTTAGTTTAGAGAGTTTTCGAAGAAAAGAATTAGCACCAAATCTGTTTTGTTCATCTGTTTCGCTTTTTTTAATTATATATGTAGTAAGTAGTGTTTTATACTGTAGGTATATCGCAGTCCCCGACGAACACTATGGTAATCGCTATTACGATAGAATCGGGTTTATTAGATATTCGTTATCTACACACCTTATTACAATCATTGAGTTTTTTTTATGATCGGGCGAGGAAACTTTTGGATTTATTTATTCAATAATGATCTTTATGTTTTTGTTCAACGTATAACATAAGTGAAAAATTTACACGATCAATAACGCAAAAACCTATTACCAAATCTCAAAAGTCAACATTTTAGAGTAAGCGGCTATTACCATATTATTCGAGGGAAAAATGACAGAATCAGAATCAGAATTTATACATAGGAACCGAAATGGTTATAACACCTAAAAATGATCATCGAATAAGCATGTAATTTATGTTTACCGTAATATTAAAGTCAGTTATATCATCGAATACGATTGCAATGTCATTTTACGAATATAAAGTATATTCATATTTACCATGGAACAATATCATAATGAACGATTACTACAGCAACACCAATTTGTGATTACAGTCGAACACTATCGTAAAGTTAGTTTGCGTTAATTTTTTCCATAGCTTATTTCAGTAATGGACATTTTCACAATTTTCTTACTGATAAAGAAAATTTATGATAAAAATTTAGTAAAAATCTAGTGCAAAAAAATATTCCCTTATTTTTGATAAAAGAATCTTCTTTTTAGTCTTGATAGTATTCAAGATATTCAGTTTTTATTTGCTCCTGTAAAATTGTCATTTTCCTATTACGATTTTGTTCGTCGGGGACTGCGATATATTCTTTTTTTATGTTATTACTTTTCTTGTATTTGTTGTGTCTATCTAGACTTAGCATTCATTATACCTTCGTGGGGTCCGAAATGTATATAAATATATATATATGTATATGTTTTATAAACTTGTTTACGCTTTAAGTGAATAAATAAAAAATATTAGTTTGTATGTATGTTCCAGTATAAATACTAGATACTATTTCTCACCCGCATTGTTGACTGCATATCGGCTGCTCAAATCCATCTCCCGTAGCCCCCACTATGGACCCCGTGTTACAGGATATACTCGCCATAACAGTAAAGAAAATGGCAACAAATATGGCAGTAACACCGCCTACGCGGGAAGCCGTGTTTGTTTTGACACCATCGCTACGGCGAGCTGAGAAGCGGACCCGGAATATCTAGAACAGAAAGAAACATCTATCTTACATTATATTTATTTATTTATTCTTAATCAGAACGACATTACATTAATTAAGAGAATAACGTTGATACAGAATAAACGATACTTTACAACAACTTTGTCTGTTTAAAATGTTAAACAACGCTATTTCTAACACAGACTTCTCGCAGTACACCAGACATACTGACATAATCGTCTGCCATCCATACGCTAACAAGTCACAGTCTGGATTTGAGTCCAAGAGAGCGTTGAGTGCTGTAAGTGCCCGGGGAATGGGGGAATTAAAAAGTGCAACCGTGCGACATTTAAGTGGTGCAAATAGTATGTGACTTCTACCACGCCTGTAGTTATTGGGCACAAACAATCGACACACTTCAGGGTGAATCTCAGGGGCTTCAGTTTTTCCTAATAAAACGTTGCATACTGTTCTGATCTGATCATGCTTTCTCCTAACACTTAGTAAGTGATATCCTAAGCTACCCACTTACTACTTTACTACTTTGTATAAGAATCTCAGGTACACTTTCTGAACCTTTTCTAGTAAAAGGACGTATGTGGTTAGTAGGAGTTCCATACGCAAGCGTTGGATTCTAGTTTACTGCACACCAAGGAATTGTACAGTGTTTTTACCTCTTCATTACTTGAATAGTCTTTTGAATTCGTGAGATCAAAACCAAGACACCTAAAAGATTATTTTGCTGTTAATACTATTTGATCATGAGATCATATTTAATATTGAGCTACGATAATGGCTTACAGTTTCGAAAGCAGTATGTCATTATTGACTCTATCGAAAGCCTTTTTTAGGTCAAAATATAAGACATCTACTAGGCTACGGCGGGCTAGTCTTATAGATATAAAGTTGACAAGGCTCAGTAAGTTGGTATTGACCAACGCTTTGATCTGAACCTGTGTTGCTCATCGCAAAGGAATTTATTTACCTGAGAGTACACATAACTGTGTATTACGTTCTCGAATACTTTGGCTTAAAATGAGCGAAAAGAAAATAGCCGGTATTCTTCGCCGGTATTAGGATTACAACTTTTAGGTATTGGTGTTACTGTCGAAAGTTTGCACTCTGGCGGGTAAACTCTGTTTTAAATGACAAATAAAAATTGTGATATAGAGGCATACACAGATGTTTTTTTCATCATCATCATCATCAACAGCCTTTAATAGTCCACTGCTGGACATAGGCCTCTCCTCAGAAAGGAGGTTTTGGCCTATAACATACCACGCTGGCCAGACGGGTTGGTATAGGGTTTGTGTCAAGTTTTCCTTCTCTCTGCAGTGCTGTTGTCCCCCTAGTTTTTTTCCCTTAGTCGGCTCTTACGACACCCACGGGATGAATAGGGGTGGTGACACTCTGTATTCTTAATCCGTCACCACGCGGTCATGTTTGTTTACCACGTTTTAACACAAGGGACGTGATTTTGTCAGGACCTATTGAACTACCATTTTTTAATTTACCTATGCTAATCATCACGTCATGTGGAGTTATGTTTTTTTATGTTTATTTAACTACTAGCGCTAATCGATGAGTCAAGTGATGGTATGTCTGGCAATAAAACACTAGGAAAGTATTTGGCAAATATCTCAGCTGCCTTAACACCGCTAAAGGTTTCTGGTTATATTTAACAGAAGGCTCAAAACCATCGTTTGTCCGTAGGCTTGTAATGAATTTCCTAAATATATAAAATGTTAAGTTGGTTGTGTACGCACTTAAACAACACAAAAACTCAAAAAGTTATGCAACCATTGAGTTCACATTTTGACACGATATACAACCCACTTCAAGGATTGTTTTTATCCATTTTTCTTGGCAGTTGTGTTCTTCATTTTTCATTAATGATACTACAATGCGCCACAGCGAATCGACGCAGAACTTATATTGAAATAGAGATGGCCAGGCCAGGTTAAATTCATTTACCAGTATAACTTGAGCTGCCATTGTATAGACATTTGTACTATGACAGAGTTAAATATACACTGGACAATATGCTTCTGCACGCCATATTTGTTTAAAAAGTATAATAACTTACCATAACGAAGAAGATGATGACCAGAGAACGGAAGATGTCTGACAGAGTACGAGAACTCCGGGGGTCTTGTCTTATTGTCTCTATGTGGAACCTAGCCTGTAAACAAATATCTATAATGTGAGGAAAACCTGATGTGCATTAATGTTTCTTTTTTTTATAAACGTTTTAGACACCCTTCAGATTAGCCTAGGAGGTGATCCTCTTAAATTTGGTAGTGATCATAATCATCATCAACAGCTTTTAGTAGTCCAATGCTGGACACAAATCTCTTACTCAGAAAGGAAGCTTTGACAAATGTAGATAAAGGGTTTGTGTCAAGTTTTCCTTTTCATAGCAGTGCTGTTGTCTTGCGTAGTTTGCTCCCTTAGTCGGCTCTTACGGCACCCTCTCTATACCAACCCGTTTGGCCAGCGTAGTATAGTAAACCAAAACCACCTTCCTAAGGAGAGGCCTATGTTCACCAGTGGGCTATTAAAGTACTGCTGGGCTATTAAAGACTGCACGGATGGCGTAGTGGTGTAAGCGGTCGCCACGCCGCTTCTTACTACTTTATGTGATCAACAAATTGTTGTTCTGTCTGGTGGCTGTTTGTAAAGTCCCCCACGACACAGGATATATTCCTAATGCGGAAGTTTTTTTTTTTTTTTTCTTTTTTTTTTGTAAAGAATGAAAAAAGAAAAGAAAGGTTGTTGATGTGATCAAGGTACGTGGTTTTATGTAAAGTAAAGAAGAGTGATCATTTACCGAGACGTAAGCTCTGTCGTATAACACGTAACAGAAGACAGCGGCGCTCAGGAATGAAAAGCCCAGTGTTTGCACGATTAAAACCTTGTTGCGAACGATGCGCCCTAGTGATGCGCAAAAACCTGGTGGAAAGAAAACTGTAAGATAAGCGAGATCCATTCCAAACTTGACACAAACCCTATACCAATCCGTCTGGCCAGCGTGATATAGTAGGCCAAAACCTCCTTTTTAAGGAGAGGCCTTTTTTTTTTTTGCTGACGGTTTGGAAAATCCCTTCGGATCTCCGGCTCCTCGGGGACTCAGGAGCCAGGAGTATGTGGTGATTCCACTAAAAACCACCCCGACCATGTTATTTCAGGTCCCCCCCTAATTGACACCATGCCTAATCAGGCCCTATCCCAGGGGAGAACACTTCCCCCTTTAAGGAGAGGCCTATGTCTAGCAGTGGACTGTTAAAGGCTGTTGATGTGATGTGTGATGATTCCAAACTTGTGGACCACTTTAACGCATGGTGAGTTTCTACGTCTCACTGGCAAAATACGGAGCTCGTATGTATATCGGCGGCATATTGTACTAGCTGGTGCCCGCGACTTGGTGGTGGAATTTGTAAAGCGCTTCCTTAGTGGGTTCGATTGCCGGACCGGGAAGGTTTTTAAGGTTTTTCTGATAGAGAAATAGTCTAGGTTACTCCTTATATAGACAGCTACCTGGTAGTAAAATATCATCAAAATCGGTAAAGCCGTTTTGCAGATTACCCGGAACAAACAGACAGACAGAAAATATTTAAACTGGTTTTTAGGCATAGGTATCGTGCAAATAACCGTGTGAGCATGAAAAGAACATATTATTTTGACATTACAAACAGACACTTCAATTTTATTTATTTTTATAAATCATTTTATAACCATCAGTCTACGTTTTACAATTATTGTGTTTAGTTTATAAAATACAATACATCATTACCAATTCGTGAATTATGACAACTTATCAAGATAAAAACTGTGCGTATAAAGCCAAGAATTAAATTGTCACTGTAATCTATTGATAAACAAATATCTTCATTATCAATTAATGTATAATTATCTTATTTACATAATATAAAACAGTCGTTTTACGCCTCTATCTGTATATTCGCTGAACCCTCCTAAACCACGCAACGGATTTTGATGCAGTTTTCACCACCAGTTATATAATTTTTCAATGAAGGTTTATATATAGTAACACACACATGTACTTAAGTTTTATTTAAGTAGAAAGATAATAATGTTTTGCAGTCGCCTAAAAATAACACGGTTTACGTGGGCTTACCTAAATTTCAGATTTTTCATCTTAGGGTATACTGGGTTACTGAAAGTAAGGGAGCAAACTACGCAGAACAACAGCATTGCAAATAGAAGGAAAAGTTGAAACAAACCCTATACCAAACCGTCTGGCAAGCGTGGTACAGTAGGCCAAAACCTCCTTTCTAAGGAGAGGCCTATATCCAGCAGTGGACTATTATAGGCTGTTGATAATAATGATGACGATGATACTTTCAGGTTTTCAAACCAACATTTTATCTTTTAAAGGCAGGGGTGAAGGGGGGTTATGCTCTACTCCAGGGATTCCCAAAGTGATCGATATCGACCCCTTGGGGTTGGACCTCCCAGAGGTCGACATAAACAAAAACTGATTTTGGGGGCCGACGAGGTCTATAAATTGCCCACTATTTTAACATAAGTGCTTATTTGAAACTTTCAAGATATTGTATAAGTTGTGTTACGTGTACCAACTTGTTACAGGACTGACTAAGTTTATTTATTTTGTTAAATTGTGATGAGAAAATGATGTCAAGTCTACTCACTTAACCCGAGTGTGCCGAGTTAAAGTATTATAATACTTTTACTGGTTCTTTGATGTTCTTTGATGGTTCTTCTCGCCTCTACACTCCATAATAGCATGGGAGACGTACCAGCAAATGGGACACCTGACGCCGTCCAGTTACACTTGTAACTTGAGACTCACAAAGGCGTTGTCGTTTAAGTCCACACTATACAGAAATAGAAGGTGGGGGAAACGAGGTGTTGGGATCTGTTGACCTCAATCACTCAGGGAAAATCAACTAAATATTGCTCACCATCGGTCATCTGTGAGGTCGTGGCATCACACCAGTCGAGACGACCCAATTAAGACTCTTTCACGTAAAAATAAACATATTAAATATACATATTATATATGAATGACAATATTAAATCTTTAAAAGAACAAGCGAGAGCCTTGCTACTCTAGTTCTCTCACTCTAACTATGAAAGAGAAATTAGAATATAATAAAATTTATTGTACACCAGTTTAGTACATCATACATCATCACACATCAACAGCCTTTAACAGTCCACTGCTGGACATAAATCTCTCCTTAGAAAGGAGGTTTTCATCATCAGATCAGATCATACAAGAGTACATCAAATTAATGGCTACGTACAAATGGCGGCTTTATCCCTAAAAAGCTATTTCTTTTTTTTATATAGATGGACATATAGACTGTACATAGACGAATTCATGAAATATATGTATTGAAAATACGCACCAGTATCGACACCGAATTCTTCTTCCTGCACACAACTCTTCATTCTTCTCGGGAAGAGCGTGAAGAGAACAGAGAACATGAAGGTCAGCATGCAGAGGCAGAGGTGGGCCTCCCACCAGTCCTCGCGCGTGGAACTTGGACGAAGCCAGTTAAAGCCACTCAAACCCAGGGACAGGCGGATGGATATCAGTATTCCTGCAGAGATTATTGGAGAGGATGATTGTAGATCATTTTTTATAATCCCTACGAATTTATTATTGCGGAAGTAACGTAGTAGATATTAATCAAGTTACCATAAAAGTAAGCTCCATTCTGTGGGTCGTGGTCATCGAGGTAGGTGATTCCGTGGGCCCAGATGCTCACCTTGCTGAGAGCACAGAGAAGCATGGTGATGACCAGGAACGCTGTTCTACCAGTGATGTTGCTATCGTAAGCTGGGGTTTCGTTATACAGTGAAATTTCGGTACCACCGCACAGTTCTGTAAAACCATAAACCACAAATTTCTTGAGGAAATAAAATTAGAAGTTAGCAAAGAAAACACTTTAACCAATAACTATTTTTTATGTGGCAAACAAGTAGTCGGTGTCTGGCGGTAGTAACTCTGCACTACCTTCGTAGTGCAGTGCAGTACTACCTACCTTCGCTCATGGTCTCCTGCAACCTTATAGACAAAGTGGATTTCTGAAGGAAAACTTCATCATCATCATCATCATCATCAACAGCCTATAACAGTCCACTGCTGGACATAGGCCTCTCCTTAGAAAGGAGGTTTTGGCCTACTATACCACGCTGGCCAGACGGGTTGATATAGGGTTTGTTTCAAGTTTTCCTTCTCTTTGCAGTGCTGTTGTCCTGCGTAGTTAGTTCCCTTAGTCGGCTCTTACGACACCCACGGGATGAATAGGGGTGGTGACATACCGTATTCTTAATCCGTCACCACACGGATAACTTCACAAAACCCTAAAGCAACCCGTCTGGCTACGGTGGGATAAGTCCTATGTCCAGCAGTGGACTCTTAAAGGCAGTTGATGTGATGTGATGATGTCTCCAATGAGTCTGTGGTTAACTTGAAATTCAGCCTTTATAAGCGCTGCTATATGAAATTGAAGTCTGATCTATTGTCTGTATTGCCCTCTCAGATGTCTTGTACACAAAAACTAGAAATAAATCTAGACCCACAATTTTTTTAATTAAGGCACTAATTTCAATAATGTTACACTGCAATCTTCTTTTAGTATTATATACCAAACAGTTATACTAAGGAGTAACGCAATACTTTTTTTTTAAGACAACTCCCGTACAAGGAATATGTATTCGCGGGGAACTTTACAAACATACATGAAACGGACACAAAGAACGACCAGACTCAGAACAACAATTTGTGGATTACACAAAGTGTTGTTCCATGTGGGGATCGAACCCACAACACTCAGCACAGCAGAAAGCGGCGAGGTGACCCCTTAAACCACTACGCATTTCGTACAGTCAAAAAAATAATAAATAAAAATACTTGAATTTAAACTTCCCATAATTCTGGAACAAACAGAAAAACCAAAAAAAAAGAAATGCAGTTTTAAAATACTACTTACCAACATTTGGTGGATTAGACACGGCAAAGGGGAAAGCGAAAACCAGCAGTCCGCTGACAGAGGTGGCTGCGAGCCATCCAGACAGAGCCAATTGCCTTCGATCTTTGCCAAACCACGCTACTGCAGCCCCCAACACGACTTCTATACCTGCCGCGCCGAGTCTCACCCACTCTGTAAAGCAGAGAGCCAGAAATGGTTTATTAAAGCTTTTTTATTATTTTAGTTTTAAAGACAAAATATTATATTTCGTAGGATTTGTAATTATAACATCTTGTTATAGATTAAAACTTAAAGAAATAAAAAGTAGAGCACAGCAAAATTATCTACATGATTTCATCATCATCATCATCAATAGCCTTTAACAGTCCACTGCTGGACATAGGCCTCTCCTTAGAAAGGAGGTTTTGGCCTACTATACCACGCTGGCCAGACGGGTTGGTATAGGGTTTGTGTCAAGTTTTCCTTCCCTCTGCTGTTGTCCTGCGTAGTTCGCTCCCTTAGTCGCCTCTTACGACACCCACGGCATGAATAAGGTTTGATTTGGGGACACCCAATTTTCCAATATTTTTATATACACACGAACGTACAGAAGATTTCAGGTAGATAATAACAATAATAATATTTCGGTCATCTAACACATAACGCCATCTAGTTTCAAACTATGCAGAGCTTGTACTATAAAAACTAGATTGACTAATAGTATTATTATGTACTTGTACTGTACTTTTTTAAATACACACATATTATACATAAACCCCAACTCCGAAACAAATATTTGCAGATCATACAAACATTTTGTCCGCTCCGGGAATCGAACCCGAGATCTCAGCACAGCAGTCGCATACGCTACCACTTCACCACCGAGGCAGTAGTAGTAGATAGTATTAGGTATAGCGTTAGTAATGCTAAAGTGATAGGGTCAGCTGATGGTAAGTCAATACCGCCGCCGCAGACAAGAGTTCTAAGTCACAAGAATTGTTAGAAGTTGGGCCTTTTTTTTTTTTTTTTTTTACGTGTGGAAATCCCCTCGGATCGTCACCCCGCCGGGGCTCTCGTTCGGCGGGGCGGTGTGTCGGACTCGAACCGACTAAAACCACACGGTGTGCCCTCTTTGCGCTTCCAGTTTAGGAGGGGTCCAGGTAGTTATCGCCTTCTGGACCCCTCCCAGCGCCAGCCCGCTCCTGGTGCGGGCTCCGTCTCCAGGACCTCTCTTTTTAGGCGGCGTCCGGCACACGCGGACGCCGCCCCCTCGCGGCTGGCCAACTAATGCGGGTGGAGGGGAGAACCCATCCCGTCCACCCGCGGCCACACTCAGGGCGGCATGAGGCGCAGGTGAGCGCGCCTCCGCCGCCCGGTTCGCCGGCGGCGGATCAGGTCCGAATGGAGGTCGTCCTCCCGGGCCTTCTCCGCCGCCTCCTTCTGCGAGATTACCTCCTCGCAGAAGGTTGCGACCGCGGTAAAACAACCGTCGCTACCGGCCATGGAGCGAATTACGGCCGGTAGCGAGAGATCTGCTCCGATGACTGCAGTGAGGGCCCGGCGCTGCGTCGCCCATGCGGGGCAAACCGCCAGCGTGTGCTGGGCTGAATCCTCACCGCAGTCGCAGTGGTGGCAGGCGGGACTCGATTCCCTCCTAGCGACCGAGTACAGGTACTTTCCGAAGCAACCGTGCCCGGAAAGCACCTGCGTCAGCCGGAAGGAAAGGGTCCCGTGCTGCCGCCCTGCCCACTCGGCGATGACCGGCTGGAGAGCCTTCACGGCGGCGAAGCCAGCGCGTGGAGTCTCCAGCCGGAACGACCATCTCACCATGGTGGCTCGGCGAGCGGCTTCGCGCCACTCGCGCACGTCTTCGGGCGGAGGGCGAAATCCGCTCTCCGCCCGGAAGTCAGCCACTCGCCGATAAACTTCGGCGAGCACTTCCGCCTCCAAATCCCACGGGGGTGTTCCGGCCAAGGCACAGGCCGCCTCGGTGGACACCGTGCGGTATCCGCGTATGGCTCTGACCGCCAATATCCTCTGGGGGCGCCAGAGGCGCGCCCTATTCGGGGCAGTCAGAGCCGCCACCCACACCGGTGCACCATACAGCGCCATGGACCGGACAACCCCCGCGTACAGCCGCCTCGTGGGAACACTGGCCCCGCCCAAATTGGTCAAAGTCGCCCTAGGGCGGAGGCAGTGTCCACCAGCTTCGGACCAAGCTGTCGGAAGTGCTCGTCGAAGAGCCACCTACCGTCTAGGACCAGACCCAGGTACCTCATCTGGGCCCGGACCGGTACGAGGACCGAGCCGACCTCGATTGAGGCGCCGGCGGGTGGACCACGACGGGGCCCATGAAATAATAGGGCCTCCGTCTTATCCAGGGCCACCCGCAAACCCAACGCCTCAATGCGCCCGACCACCAGGGAAACTCCCGTGGCGGCCAGGCGCGCCGCCTCCTGGAAGTTAGCCCCTCGGGCCGTGAGCAAGGTGTCATCCGCGTAGCAGATTACACCCAGCCCGGGGGGGAGACGCCCTCGTAGGGCCCAGTCGTACCCGATGTTCCACAGGAGAGGTCCTAGGACAGACCCCTGCGGAACACCGCAGGACATGGCCCTGCGTCTCAAGACGCCATCTCGGTCCTCGTACATGACGGTTCGCTCCTCAAGATAATCTGCCACCAGCCGCCTCAGGTACTCCGGCACTCCGTGGTAGCGGAGCGCTTCCCTGATGCAGCTGAATGGCAGACTATTGAAGGCGTTGGCGATGTCCAAAGACACCGCCAACACCACTCCGCCGCAGCTCACGGCCTCCTCGGTCACGGCCCTAAGGCGCATCACGGCATCGATCGTCGAACGCCCCTCTCGGAAACCGAATTGGGCATCCGACAGATCGGGGCCGACCTCGCAAAGGTGCCGGACGATGCGGGCAGAGAGCACCCTCTCAAAAAGTTTGCCCGCCTCGTCCAGCAACACGATAGGCCTATAGGCCGCGACCGATTCGGCAGGCCGTCCCGGCTTCTGCAGCAGGACCAGCTTCCCGCATTTCCAGCGCTCAGGGAAGCGTCCGGACGCCAGGCTAGCGTCCAACACCCCCCTGAGGTGGTCCGACATGTAGTCGAGGGCTCGGGCCATCACTCGGGCTGGAACCCCGTCCGGTCCGGGAGCGGTGTTCTTGGATCGAATCCGTAGAACAGCCGCCCCCAACTCCGATTCCCTGACGGGCGGAACATCAGCCTCGCTGCCCCCGTCGTCTCCGGCTGATGCAGCCATCGACGGGGGTGTGTGCTGTTAGAAGTTGGGCCTCCGCTAACCCTTCACTCGGCAAACTAACAAAGAATTGCTTAAAGCGGTTTTCTTTGAGGCTGTGTTAAAACTCCGGTCGAGCTAACCCAATTGTGCCAAAGTATGGCTCCGCCACTCATAGCGTGTATATTATACTTATTAAACATTGAAATATGTATCTGTCATTTAACGGGAATTAAACCCGAGAATACTGACTCCTTCAGCCAGTGTAATGGAACTTAAGGATTTATTTTTAATATGATTAGAACGTAAAATGTTCTTCTATGTCAAAAGTTTGAACAGTATGTAGTTCTTGAACATAACTTTATAGAAAATTCTGTTAATTCTCTTATATATAAAATTCTCGTGTCACAATGTTCGTTCCCGTGCTCCTCCGAAACGGCTTTGACCGATTCTCATGAAATTTTGTGTGCACATCGGGTAGGTCTGAGAATCGGCCAACATCTATTTTTCATACCCCTAAATGGTAAGGGTGACCCATCCCTATATTTTTTTTGTTTTGCAATACAACGTTTGCCGGGTCAACTAGTCTTATATATAAAATTCTCGTGTCACAATGTTCGTTCCCGTGCTCCTCCGAAACGGCTTGACCGATTCTTATGAAATTTTGTGTGCACATCGGGTAAGTCTGAGAATCGGCCAACATCTATTTTTCATACCCCTAAATGGTAAGGGTGACCCATCCCCAATTTTATTTTGCTTTGCAATACAACGTTTGCCGGGTCAGTTAGTCTATAAACACTACTCATTATCTACTGAAGGAAATATTATGGAGGGTAGAGGCAAGGCAAACCATCTCATATAGGAAGAAAGTTGAAAAAGTGTCCAGCTGTATACTGAAAAGAGGTCGCTGGCGTACGAAAAACTACAATGTTGACGTAGCTGGTGAAGACTCCATAGTAAAAACTACATTCTTACCTCCAACTAATTTAGGCAGGTACCCTTCATTAGCATCTCTGTCCAGAAGTAGGTAGACGTTCGTCTCCAGGAGTATGACTATCAAGAGCGTTCCTTGCAGGAACAGGTCGAATCTCTTCAGAGTTAAAATATACGTTGTCACAAAGTACCATAGCTTGTGGAATACTGTGAACAAAATAGGTGAGTATTATAAACGCAAGTCGATGGTGATAATGCTGATGTCTGCCGCGACGCATCCGTTGATGGAGAACTTTGTTATTGTTGCGCTATAGGATTGAGTGGTTGTTGTGTTGTATCTGGAGGACAGCGCCATCTAGTATCAAGTGGGGCACAACGGTAGAGATTATATTTGTTAAATCCGATATTTGCTTGCAATGCCATCTAGTGTCGAATATCGGAAAATTATAGAAATTTGTAGATTCCTTATTGTACGTGGTTCTGTTTGGAACATTCCATTGGGTCTTCGGGATTAGTCTAGTAATTAAAAGCGGAGCGTGTGTGCACAGATAATTAACACCGAAGTGAATTTCTTGTTTGTAATAGTGAGTGTTTGTAAATACAGTGCAATAAAAGTAATTAACCGACAGCTTTTATTTATTGTATACCCCGCTCGTTTCAATATTGATTTCTGTTATGAGCGCGGATATGACTCATCATCATCAACAATCTTTAATACGAGTAGTCCACTGCTGGACATACTTAGGCCTCTAATTAGAAATTATGTTTTGGTCTACTATATCACGCTGGCCAGACGGGTTGGTATAGGGTTTGTTTCAAGGTTTCCTTCTCTTCCCAGTTCTGTTATCCTGCAGAGTTTAGATATGCCTGGTGAACCTTGGTCTTAAACATTTTGTCACATGACACACAGTGTAATTTACCAGCAGAAAAGAGACACAATAAATTAACAAGCCTATTGGTCTAGTGGTTGTGACCCTGACTGCTAAACCGAGGCAGCGGGTTCAATTTAAACCCAGGACAATTAATTGAGCTATGAGCTAGATCATTTGTTCTGTGTTTGGGTGTAATTTATTTATAATTTATAAGTATGTTTATCTACAATCTGTTTACTATAGCACAGACTCACCCTAGTTTGGGATCAGACAGCCCTGTGTGAGGTTATTAATAGTATGTTTTTATAATACACTAGCTTTCACAGTCGGTTATCACAGTAAATAGCCTATATCCTTCCTTAATAATCAAACTATCTTCATACCAAATTTCATCTAAAGCGGTTCAGCGATTATTGATTCCTCATACAAACTTCCACGCGCCTTTTCACCCCCTTAAAAGATGATTGCTGGTGTAAAAACTATGTCATTTCCCAGGACTCAAACTATCTCTGTACTAAATTTTATCTAAATAGGTTCAGCGGTTTAAGAGCGAAGGGTAACAGACAGACAGACAGATAGACAGAGACACTTTCGCATTTTTAATATTAGTATGGATTTGGAGTATTTACTTAATGTATAAATGCAAGTGTAGAAAGCTTAAATTTTAGAAGAACATGTGTGCTATTCAAGTTAAATAGTTACCTAAAAACGGCTACATAAAGCCACAAGTGTCCAGTATATTATGACCTTCTAAGTAACAAAAGTTTATATTACCCATGGACGTATAAAAAAAGTCAGACTTAGTCTCGCTAACCAAAAACTGTGTCACTCAAAGTCGGCCAACTCGCTGTACGTACAAGCCGGCACGCACACATACATATACGAGTATTAGTCAGCCTGTCAGCATTACGCGGCGAAAAAATATACAACATGTTTCGCGTTGTAAAATGCTGTAAAAACCGTAGTGACCGAAAGAAAAATAAACCAGGAATCACGTTTCATAGGGAAATTAATAATTCAATCTAATATTTCCAGTTTACATAAAAAACCAATCTGCATTGGCTAAAACAAAATAATTTATTATAGACCAAATTTTCACGTATGCAAATTACCCGAAATATAGGCAATTTTTGCTTTATTATTAAAAACAATTTATTAAGGTTATTTATTTACTTCATATTCTTTTTACTAGATTTTCTAAGGAAAATGGAGTATGGAGAAATTATTTGATGTTATGGATATTGGATATATTAATGCAAGACAACACAAATATATTCTCACAAAAATTCTAGAAAAGTATGTTGGCAATGAAAGCGAATTTCTTTAAACTTAGATTCCGCACATACTTTCGCCGGAATAGTATATATAGTCTTATCTATACTAATATTATAAAGCTGAAGAGTTTGTTTGTTTGTTTGTTTGTTTGAACGCGCTAATCTCAGGAACTACTGGTCCGATTTGAAAAATTCTTTCAGTGTTAGATAGCCCATTTATCGAGGAAGGCTATAGGCTATATATCATCACGCTAAGACCAATAGGAGCGGAGCACCAATGAATAATGTTTCAAAAACGGAGAAAATTTATTACTATTGAGAGACGCAGACGAAGTTGCGCGGGTCAGCTAGTTAAAAATATAGCGGAATAATATTTAACGATTCGGTTTTACCACATCTCGAAATTAGAGGAAATTTCAAGAACCTCTCAAAGTAAAATAGTAAAATAAAAAAAATACTTAGCGCTTAGGATATTATTTATTTATTTAGCTTTTTTTTCCGTGCGGACATCCCCTCGGACACCACCTATCGGTGGCATGTCGGACTCAAACCGACTAAAACCGCACGCCGTTTCGGGTACTAATAGCCGGGGAACCAGGTATACCCTAGAAAGGAAGTCCCTGGTGCCCCGACATACCTCGGACCATCTACAAACGAGTAGACGGCCCCCGGACATAATGCCCTAGGCATTCTCTCCCAGTCAACCTTTAGGTACTTAGTGTAGAAATCGTAAGTGGTAGGCGAATATAGGCGCATGTAGTGTTCTAACACTAATCACTAAGATATGCACTACATAACACAACACACGTAATTTTATACACAAGCAAATACACACTATATACATATATATAAATACACATCCATACACTATACATATATATGTGTCTATCTAGACACATACAAACATAAATTCGTACACCATGAGTGTAGGAAAATTGGCTGCTGCACTATTGATTCGACGATTCTGCGGTCTCATTAAGAAGAAGGATTATTAAACAGTAGAAACAGCAAATTTTCGAACAAATAATTTTTAATTTATTTAGTGACTGTGTTTTTAATTTATTTACACATAGAGAGCTGACGCCATTACGGTGCCTCAGTTTTGTCTTAGCGGGAGTTCCGTCCGATTTTTTTATACGTTCTTGATTATACCAGTTGAATTTATAGTAGTCACTGAACTAATACATTCAAAACTGTCAAAATTCGACCTACAGGTGATCTCTAGTATAAATAATTGGATGATAGGGGGTATGACATCACAAATCGCTAATTAATCTATATAGAGCTTACATGTACCGCTGACGTCACTTTTGGCCTTCGTAGTACATCAGCGCCATTAAATACAGATTAAAAGTTACACTCTGATTAAAAAATGTTTCACGGATTTGCTTCAAATACCATTTTACATGCGTATATAAACAGTGATGCCTACATCCCCACAGAATTAGGCCATCATCACCAATCATCATGAACAGCCTTAAACAGTTCACTGTTGGACATAGGCCTCTCCTTTGAAAGGAGGTTTTGGCATACTATACCACGTTGGCCAGACGGGTTGGTATAGGGTTAGTTTAGAGTTTTCCTTCTCTTTGCAGTGCTGTTGTCCTGCGTAGTTTGCTTTGTCGGCTCTTGCGACACCCACAAGATGAATAGGGGTGGTGACACCCCGTATTCTTAATCCGACAACAGAATTATAGAAAGAAGTAGGCCTAGAGGTATTAAAGAACTTTTTCCCCAACTAGATTTTTTTAGAGGGGGCAAACGTGCTGACGGTTTGCCAAATGTAAGTATCTACCTCCAGCCAAGGATACCTGACCTCAAGAATAATAATTACACTGCAAGCCATTGCTCCCTCTACCATAGAATTAAGGGTCTTCTACCCTAGGGGTCTTTTTTCGATTCGTTAATCTCACTTATTCGTTAATAAGAACGAAAAAATTTTCTAACACCGGTTTTCTGTGAAGCCATAGCATCACTCATAATATAATATTTTCGGACATTTAATACACAACGCCATCTAGTTTCAAACTAAGCAGAGTCCGTACTATGAGAGCTAGATTGACTGATAGAATACTTACATACTTTTTTTTGTAAATACATACATATTACACATAGAAAACACTCAAACTCCGAAACAAATATTTGCAGATCACAGCGCAGCAGTCCCATACGCTACAAATGCACCACCAGGGCAGTCAAATTTGTGCCGAAGCATAACTCTCTGACGATTAAATGTCTCTCTGTTGCTATTGTCTCTGCCTAAACCGAAAGGAAACAGCCGTGAGTGTATACAGGGTCTACTCATCATCAACAGCCATTACTAGTCCACTGACATTGGCCTCTCCTTAGAAAAGAGGGGTTGGCCTACTATACCATGCTGGCCAGACGGGTTGTGCTGTAGTCCTGCGTAGTTTGTTCTCCTCTTCTTTGTGCGCCTCTTACGATACCCACGGGATGAATAGGGGTGATTACATTCCGTATTCTTAATCCGTCACCACACGGATAGACCCAGGTTCTACTTATCTTTGGTAATTTTATCACACGTTATATTGGTTTCCTAATGCGTCTATTAGACGTTTATCCAATAGTAATACATTAAGGCTGTTAATCCACAATACTTCACAATTAAATTGTTAATCGTTTGCTAATGAAACATTGTTTTATTTTGCATTGTTTTGTAATAATTTACTTTCAGTATATTTATCGTGGTATTTATAATGTCACCGACCAATGCATCTACATCATTATGAATTAGGACTGTTTTTTTCGTCCTTTAATTTTCTACCCTTCATCATCATCTGAGCCGAAAGACATCCACTCGAAACGGAGGATACTTGTGACGTTACAAATCGTTAATCTATACTAATATTATAAAGCTGAAGAGTTTGTTTGTTTGTTTGTTTGAACGCGCTAATCTCAGGAACTACTGGTCCGATTTGAAAAATTCTTTCAGTGTTAGATAGTCCATTTATCGAGGAAGGCTATAGGCTATATATCATCACGCTAAGACCAATAGGAGCGGAGCACCAATGAAGAATGTTTCAGAAACGGAGAAAATTTATTACTATTGAGAGACGCAGACGAAGTTGCGCGGGTCAGCTAGTTAATCTATATGTAGCTTACGTGTGCTTACTTTCCATCCTTAGGAGTTCTATTTTATCTTTAAATTTCAATTAAATGAGACCAAACGAAAAACTAATTCTCTAAATCATGCATGCAAACATTTAAAAAATGACTAGAGTCAGATGAAAACAGTAGATATAGATAAACTACGCTCACTATCTGAACATATGTCACATCCAGGTAAGCTTGATCCCTGTATTTATCCGTACAGTTACAAAGTGTTCACACCTCCATCCACGGCCTTTACTAGTCCACTGCTGGACATAGGCCTCTCCTTAGAAAGGAGGTTTTGGCCTATTATACCACGCTGGCCAGACGTGTTGGTATAGGGTTTGTTTCAAGTTTCCTTCTCTTTGCAGTGCTGTTATCCTGCATAGTTGTAGTTTGCTCCCTTAGTCGGCTCCTACGACACCCACGGGATGACTAGGGGTGGTGACACTCTGTATTCTTAATCCGTCACTACACGTCACATCTACTCTTTTAATTGCCAATTGTGTATCCATTAGTTTGTAATTTGAATTAGAGTCACGCCGCTCGGCAAATGTCTGTATCTCATTCAAAATGTGTTCTCATGTAAGTGAATATGTAATTCTTTATGAGAATAAAGTTTCTTAAACCCAAACCCGAAATCGCTCCATAATTGACGGAGTCCTGAGTATTGGGTAGGGTTATAATATACCCACTTTTGCTAACTATAATCTTAATTCCCACTAACGCAGTAAGGGAAACCGGACACATATATTTCTAAATAAAGATACTTATATGTTTCTAACTACATACATATTATAGATAAATTACAACCAGACACAGAACAAATGATCGTGCTCATCAAATAACGTTATTTTGGCCTTCGGGGTCAGGAAGGGAACATTGGGGTTCCCACACAGGAGAGAGTCATCTGTAAACCGTAGATGGCCCGAGGTACGTCGAGGTACCATACCTGGTTCTCCGGCTACTGGTACCGCTAGACAGCGTGCGGTTTTTGGTCGGTTCAAGTCCGACATAACTAGCCACTGGTGGGTGGAATCCGAGAGGAGTTACGTACAAGAAAAAAAGGTTGGTGACACTACGTATACTGAATTTGACCTTCGTATATTCGACCGGTGTATATACAGCGCCATCTATCCAAAACAAGGGCCACTGTTTAGTAACTACCAAACCGCACCGCGCAAGAAAACCTCGCGTGATAAATTATACATATATGTATAGATATCAACGTTAGGTGGTCATAATCCTATATCTAAAGATTAAGATTACATGAAGTAATTATAGGTTTGGATTCTGAAAATCATGTTGGCGAAATTGTGTAGATATAGAATTACTTAGTGAGAAGGTTCGTTTGTTTGTAACCCTTTGACGCTTGAACTGCTGAACCAATGGAGAACCTGACGGATAGAAAATTGACCACTGGAGGCAACAAGATATTTATTTAAAAAAAGAAACACAAATTGCAACTCCATTGAAATGTATAGGTACTTAAAATTAACAAACCGTCGATTTTAATTTTATAATGTTTATTTACCTAGTGTCACTCTCATAATTAAGAAGAATCCACACAAAACGTAATAATAAGTATTAGGTTTTTTATGGACGAATCTAACGACAGCTCAAACGTCACAATTCAGCTAGCCGTTTAGACTATAGAGCGTGCTAAACAAACATACACACATACTAACATACACTCTAAAACAAAACCCTCCTTCTCGCACAGCTTGTTTATACCACATCACATCACATCATCAGCCTTTAATAGTCCACTGCTGGACACAGGCCTCTCCTTAGAAAGGAGGTTTTGGCCTACTATACCACGCTGGCCAGACGGGTTGGTATAGGGTTTGTGCCAAGTTTTCCGTTTTTTTGCAGTGCTGGTGTCCTGCGTTGTTTTGCGCCCTTAGTCGGCTCTTACGACACCCACGGGATGAATTGGGGTAGTGACATTCCGTATTCTTAATCCGTCACTTCGTTTGCAATTCTAATTTCAACTATAATTCATTAGTTTTTAAAATACACATGACATACATTTGGTCGGCTTGAAAGCCTTGCTCCCGTCCGGAGAAGGCCGGGTCAATAAACCGTCATAGGTCACGATTCTGACATAACAGCTACCGCCTGTTTGTGGTGATATTAACGAGTCGCTTCTTTAGTCTTCGATCAACTTTAGTACACTTTTTTTTTCTTTTTTTTCTGTGCGGGAATCCCTCGGATACCATTTACTGGTGGCAATGTCGGACTGGAACCGATTAAAACCGCACGCCGTCTCAGGTACCAGTAGTCGGGGAACCAGGTGTACCCAAGAAAGGAAATCCCTGGTGCTCTTCTTTAGTACACTGCCGCTTAGTGTACGTTTTTCAGGGCCCACCTTGATGGCCTGCTCACGTACAAACGCGTTACATAGTTTTAAATATTTGTTTTATTTCATTTGCCATTGGCTTGAACTGTTATTTTATAAATTATGATATATAGCCTATAGCCTTCCTCGATAAATGGGCTATCTAACACTGAAAGAATTTTTCAAATCGGACCAGTAGTTCCTGAGATTAGCGCGTTCAAACAAACAAACAAACAAACTCTTCAGCTTTATAATATTAGTATAGATATGAGTATTTAGTATTGTTTACATAACCTGTACATGTTGTATTACACCTGGACACAAATCGTTGACATCATATAATTATTGAAATGGGATTGAACCTAGTAAATGCTAAAAAAGAATTCTCTTCACCTACCAACGTTTAAATACGTAATATTATACTATTTAAATAATAAATACATAAAAAAAACAGGCAATTTACTTACTTGTCTTTCCTTCTAAGACCATCTTGTATTGCTTTATAATATTATTTCAACTTTAAATACCAAACCCATAAATAATAACAGAATTTAATATTTTATTTATGAAACTAAACTCTTCATAACCCTATTTTTAAACACTTTCATAACTATCTTGGTTTTTAAGTAAATAAGATTGTTATTAATATATATATTACACATTAAATAAATATAACAGTGAATTAGAAGGAACACACAGTGATACACAGTGTGGCGCCGAATGTTACTAGCTGGCGAATTATCTGTTATCAGATAAACTGTCTTTTATCTTTACCAATCTATATGTATTAATTTATAACAATTGTCACGTTGATATGTTTGGGAATTATTTATTTACTTACCCACACGTTGTTATTGAGTAGACCAGACAATAGTGGGCCATTTTAAGGAACAATGTCACAGCACTTTTGTTCCATTTATTGTAGGCGTATGGCACGCTGTATGCTTTAATAATTATGTTTTAAATATCATCATCATCAACAGCCTTTAATAGTTCACTGCTGGACATAAGCCTCTCCTTAAAAATAAGGTTTTGCCCTACTGTACCACGCTGGCCAGACGGGTTGGTACAGGGTTTGTGTCAAGTTTTCCTTCTCTTTGCAGTGCTGCGTAGTTTGTTCCCTTAGTCGGCTCCTACGACACCCACGAGAGGAATATGGGTTGCGACATTCCGTATTCTTAATCCTTCACCACACCAACAATTAAATATATACATAACTACAAAAAATGGCATAAAAGTAAATGGCATTCTTTAGAAAGCATAATATATTTTTATTTCTTTTAAGATGATTTAAAGTAATAATAAAATTCTTGATACATCTTTTAATATTCATCTTTGTTATTAAGATCATCATGAGAACGAACGTGATGAATCCCGTAGCTGGTTTCTTTTTTCGTAAACAACTTGTTTATTAGAGAAAATACTCTTTCTACTGTTGCATTTGTGCTAGGCAGATATCAAATATTATATTTAAGTCCCACAAGTCCCGCTAATATGTACATTTAAAATTACTTACTTGATCTGACTGATTCCTTAACGCAGAGTCTAAACCGCTGGGGCTAAGAACTTGAAATTTTGGTAGCTGATGCTTTTTATGTTTTAAATACCAACTAAGAAAGGATGTTTGGTAATTTCATCCCTAAGGAAGTAAAATAAGGGATGAACGGTTGTTTGGAAGTTCGTAGTTTTCAAAGTGAGAAACAGGGAATATGAGATTCACGCAAGCTAAGCCACTGGTAGTAGCTAGGTTTCAACAATTGGCTAGACTATCGTGAAATAGTGTGGTGTGTGGTGACGGAATAAGAATACAAGTGTCACCGATATCCATCCCGAGGATGTCGTAAGAGCCGACTACTGGTGGAAACTACGCAGAACGCCCACACAGCAAAGAGAAGGAAAACTTGAAACAAATCCTATACCAACCCGTCTGGCCAGCGTGGTATAGTAGGCCAAAACCTTCTTTTTAAGAAGAGGCCTATGTCCAGCAGTGGAGTTGTAAAGGCTGTTGATGATGATCGTGAAATAGTAATTTGCGTCCTAATAATTTTTTCGTGGATACTAGGACAAAACTGAAATACGGAAAAGTCCCGTTTAAAACGGGACGTATGGTCACTTTAGCGATAATTTTCTTTGACGTTTGTTGATAAATACAGATTACTTTGGGTTCATAAAAATGTGTAAACAAATAAATAATGTTAGTTCCGTTTATTTAACTGATACGCAGCACGTGAAAAGTAACATTAGATACCATAATTATGATAATTTTTACAATAACAATATAATTATTTATATGTTGGTTTTTACGGAGTTCATGAGGTTATCGGCGGCCAAAACCTCCCCTCCTAAATTGCGGGGGTTAATAAAAGTCGGCACGCATTCGTGACTTCTGAGTTACAGGTGTTCATGGGCGTCGGTAGTCACTTACCATCACGTGAGCCGTCTGCTCGTTTGCTACCTATACTCATAAAAAAATATATAAAATTATGGATATATATTTATGTTATACGTTCATCCACAATATATGTTTAAATTATATATAGTAATATTATCAATGTATTTCAACCCAAACTCAACTCTCGTGTAAACGGGGCCAATATATGTAGATACTTATATACAGAGGTGTCGGTAACGGTAACCAGTGTCGCGAGTTTAATGGTTTTCCCCATCTCCAAAAAATACTATATTTTGTTTGTTGTTCAAAAAGTGTCTACCGCCGCCCATGAATACCTGCAACTCAGGAAGGAATAAATATGCTCTTTTCTTAAAGGTTTGAAGGTCGTGTCGCTCTGAAAATACCGCAGGCGAAAATTTTTCCACAGATTACTTGTCTGACAAAAAGGTACTATAAAAGTGCACTCATTAGGTACTTCAAGAATAGGGCTTTACTGGACCTGATATATTATGGTCCGGGTCCTCCTCGGAGAATGGCGCCTGAGTCATACTCCTGGCTCCTACATCCCCAAGGAGCCGGAGATCCGAAGGGATTTTCCACCCCGTCAACAAAAAAAGGTACTTCAAGAAAAAGAAACAAAAGTACAGTCGCAGTGAGCATTTATTTCCTTAAAATCACATTGATGTGTTTTCAAATATAAAAATCTTTTTAGTGAACATAATTAAAGTTATAATACATTTAATGTTTATAAATAATAAACATAACAATTGTCAATACTTAAGTTATTAACTTAAACATTTAAATAGTTGAGAGCTTGCACGAGATTTATTTAAAATAATTTGTGACAAGGCATTTTTATTGCTCGAGTTGAGACTTCTTGGCATTAATTTGTATTTAATTCTAATAGAAAACTAACAGAAATAAAATTAAATTTATAGTTGCCAATCAGGTTCCAAGAAATCATCGCTTCGAACGAAAGCTTGGAACCTGATTGGTCAGGATGGGACTTGATCAATGTGACATTACGTCACTTTTTTCTTAACGCGAATGGCTTATAGGTAGGCTTCAAAACTGTGATCAAATACTCTTTTTTTTGTATTTTTATAATGATGTTTCTGCTGAAGATATGTAACGTATACTCCTAAATCCAAATCTGATCTCTAGGAGTTGTTATTCTTCAAATTCTGCTGCTTTTATATAGATATGTTTTTATATGGTAACTTTAAATCAAAAATCTTCGATAGGGTTAATCTATGTTCCCGTTCAAGGCGTAAACAAATTTAAAACTGACAACACTGCGTAAAACAGAATTTAATCTCAGTGTGTATATTAATAATTAACTTTGAAAAATTTGTCACCAACAGAGGTGTTAATTTTGATTCAAATTTGAATGAGACCATACATGTATTATCTACTATATAAAAATAAGTCGGGTTTTCCTTCCTGACGCTATAACTCCAGAACGCACGAACCGATTTCCACGGTTTTGCATTCATTGGAAAGGTCTCGGGCTCCGGGTGGTTTATAGCCAAGAAAATTCAGGAAAAATTTCAACAGAAAAGCGGGACAATCTTTTTTCACATACAGCGCTACAAACCAATATTTTAAGTAGATGGCGCCGGTGCGGGATACATTGTTTGACAGCTACTCATTGTTCTCTGTTCAGTTTATTTCATGTGACAAACCGGTATTGTGTTCACTGTGAAATTGTGAAAAAAAAGTTAAAAAAATAAGTTATTCGTTTCCTAACATTTCAATTGGAAACCATCAAATCAATCACGTGTATGGTGCAAATTTGAAAATCTTTTTTCACATACAGCGCCATCTCTGATACATAGCATGTACTACAAACCAATATTTTAAGTAGATGGCGCCGGTGCGTGATACATTGTTTGACAGCTACTCATTGTTCTCTGCTCAGTTAATTTCATGAGACAAACCGGTATTGTGTTAACTGTGAAATTGTGAAAAAAAAGTAAAAAAATAAGTTATTCGTTTCCTAACATTTCAATTGGAAACCATCAAATCAATCACGTGTATTGTGCAAATTTTTATTCAATTTCAACAGCAGGCATTTGTCTTTAAGGTGGTAAGTTGAACTGTGTAAATTATGTGGATCGTGCATTTGAGGTTAAATTCACCACTCTGTCCATAGTCCAAAATGCCTAGAGGACGACGTGCGAACATCGGCCGCCGCACAAGACATGCAAGCCAGCAACAAGTGTATTCACAGAACATAAGCGAAGAAAGACAAAATATAATAAGAGAAAATGCCCGATTGAGACAACGCGTGAGCACACGAAGATCATTGGCATCATACAATCGCTTGGCATTCCAATATGATCCCACTGCGAACTACAGGTATGATGAAAATTTAGATATTGGACCAATGACGACTATATGCGGATATTGCAATGCGTTAAAGTTCAAAAGAGAAACGGCTGGATTGTGCTGCGCAAGTGGAAAAGTCAAACTGGATCCATTACTTACACCACACAGCCACTGAAACCATTGTTCGATGGAAGTGATCCCGATTCCAGCCATTTTCTTCAACACATCCTAATATCATTCGAGAAGGCGGCTTCATGCCGACTTGCAAGGTAAAAGATACAACACACATAACCAATCACTCACAACAACACAATGAATTGCAACACATAACAACTACATATACACCACACACTACACCATCACACGATCAGAAGTTACACCGTATTCTTCAACAAATGATTGTTTGCAACTACAGATACAAGGAAAAATATATCATTTGCATGGTTCAATGGTGCCAACACCAGATGAACCGCATTATTTTCTGCAAATATATTTCATTTCGTCGATGGTGGATCAGCTGAATGTGCGGTGCAATATAGGGAACACAACAGTTAAAGAGACGAATTATTGAACAGTTGCACGCTAATAATGCTGTGGTTAATATGGTCAAAACAGCATTGGAACGAATGCCATCGGATACGCACAAATTTGTCATAAGAGCGGATTGTACCCCAACAGGTGAACATGTGCGAAGATTCAATGCACCCACCGTTAATGATGTTGCTGCAATTATTGTTGGCGATACAACTAAATCGCGAGACATTGTCGTTCAGCGAAGAAGCAATATCATGCATCGTGTAAACGAGACACATCGTTTGTACGATGCGTTACAATATCCAATCATTTATTGGCAAGGGCAAAACGGATACGACATCACGTTGAAGATGGTCGATCCAATTCCAGGTACAATATTCACACACTAATTATTGCTATTATTGCTATTATTGGTTTCCATTAACAATTCCAACAACAAGAACAAAAATCTAAGCGCAATGAATTACTATGCGTATCGTATGATGATTCGTACACATGAGGAGAATGTCATTCTGAAGTGCCGTCGGCTATTCCAGCAATTCGCTGTCGACATGTATGTCAAAGTCGAGACCGAACGTTTAGCGTTCATCCGATTCAATCAAGCAAAGCTACGATCTGAGGACTATATACACTTGCGTGATGCTATTCATTCAGATGGTGATGTTCAGAATATTGGACGTCTGACGATTCTCCCATCATCTTATATCGGAAGCCCACGCCACATGCACGAATACGCTCAAGACGCTATGACGTACGTGCGAAATTATGGAACTCCGGATTTATTTATTACGTTCACATGCAATCCGAAGTGGACGGAAATTGAACGTGAGTTGGAACCGGGCCAAAAACCGCAAGATCGCCATGACATAATCGCCAGAGTATTTCAGCAAAAACTCAAGGTTATGATGGATGTGCTTACTAAGTATCGAGTTTTTGGTGACACACGTTGTTATATGTACTCGGTGGAATGGCAGAACGTGGACTACCTCATGCTCATATCCTAATTTCATTGCTGAACAAATGATATTCAAATGAAGTGGATGACATCATATCAGCTGAAATTCCTGATCCAGTCACTGATCCCCATCTACACGACATTGTGACGACACAGATGGTGCATGGACCGTGCGCTGCATTAAATCCATTATCGCCTTGCATGGCTGATGGAAAGTGCACAAAACGATATCCGCGACCGTTAGTTGCTGAAACAGTCACAGGGAACGATGGATATCCAGTTTATCGTCGGCGTTCAAAAGAAGATAATGGTCGAACTATCAAAGTTAAAGTTCAAAATCAAGAGATTGAGATCGGAAATGAATTCATTGTACCATATTGCCCGCTGCTATCACGAATTTTCGAAACACATGCAAACGTTGAGAGTTGTCATTCGGCCAAATCAATCAAATATTTGTGCAAGTACGTCACAAAAGGCAGCGACATGGCTGTGTTTGGTATTGCGTCGGAAAATGCGAATGACGAAAACAGCAACTTCCAAATGGGCAGATACGTCAGTACTAATGAAGCACTGTGGCGATTATTGTCATTTCAAATTCATGAAAGATATCCCACAGTTGTACATTTAGCAGTGCATTTGGAAAATGGCCAAAGAGTTTACTTCACTGAGGCTAATGCGGCACAACGAGCTGAGAGACCACCATCGACAATATTGACTAGCTTCTTTGCAATGTGTGAAGCAGATCCATTCGCAGCGACGCTGATGTACGTTGAAATGCCCAAGTATTACACTTGGAATCAATCAACAAAGAAATTCCAACGTCGTAAACAAGGAACCCCAGTTCCAGATTGGCCACAGGTGTTTTCCACTGATGCACTAGGTCGCATGTATACTATTCATCCTAGAAATGATGAATGTTTTTATTTGCGACTGCTGTTGGTAAATGTACGTGGACCAAAATCATTTGCGCATTTGAAAACTGTGAATGGCTACCAATGCCAAACATATCGAGAAGCATGTCAACTATTGGGTTTGCTGGAGAACGATTCTCATTGGGATTTAACACTTGCGGATTCAGTTGTTTCATCAAATGCGTACCAAATACGAACGTTGTTCGCAATTATCATCACCACATGTTTTCCTTCACAACCAATTCAGTTATGGAACAAATACAAAGACGACATATGTGAAGATATCTTGCATCGCTTGCGCATTCAAACGAATAATCCTGACATCCAAATAACCGATGAAATCTACAATGAAGGATTGATTCTGATTGAGGATCAATGCTTGACTATTGCAAACAAGCTACTGATTGAAGTATGGAATGATTGCGCCAAATCGATCGATGCACGATGCATTCAACCAAGAATTAAATCGAGAGCTGCAATACAATGTTGATACATTGCAGGAATTTGTTCGAAATAATGTGCCGTTGCTGAATGAACAGCAAAAACAAGTATACGAAACATTAATGCAAGCGGTGGACAATACTGGTGGTCTATTTTTCCTGGACGCACCTGGAGGAACAGGGAAAACATTTGTCATTTCATTGATTTTGGCCACTATTCGATCAAGATGTGACATAGCTTTGGCGTTAGCATCATCTGGAATTGCGGCGACTCTTCTAGATGGCGGTCGTACTGCACATTCTGCGCTTAAGTTGCCACTCAATTTAAACACAATTGATACTCCAACATGCAATATTTCCCGATCCAGTGCAATGGGAAAATTGTTGATGCAATGCAAGCTCATTGTTTGGGATGAGTGCACAATGGCACATAAGAAATCACTTGAAGCACTTAACTTCACACTGAAGGATCTTCGGCGAAATAACAACATCTTTGGCGGCTTGATGATATTGTTGGCAGGCGATTTCAGGCAGACGTTGCCAGTAATTCCCCGTGGAACGCCTGCAGATGAATTGAATGCTTGCCTGAAGGCATCACCTTTATGGAATAACGTAAAAACATTATCGCTAACCACTAATATGAGAGTTCAACTTCAAAATGATCAAAGTGCTGCACAATTTTCCAAACAATTGTTAGCTGTTGGAAATGGAAAAGTCCCAGTTGATGCGACATCTGGATTAATTACTCTTACCAACGACTTTTGCCGATTTGTAGACTCTCAATTAGCTCTTATTGAAAATGTTTTCAAAAACATTAGTGAGAATTATCAGAATTATGCTTGGTTAAGTCAACGAGCAATTCTTGCCGCAAAGAATAATGACGTATAACGCTTCGATTCAGTATTTACTTTGGATTCACTTTCATTTACTTAGAGAAGTTCAACTAAATAACACTTCATTTTTGTAATCGAAATGAATTCATTACTGTTGTGAAATGAAATAAAAAATTTCCTTTTCAAATATAAAACAAAAAAAAAATTTTTTAATCACCAAACGAAATGTTACATAAAACGAAGCCATCTGGTGGCGAAACGGAGTTCGCCGGGTTTGCTAGTGATATAATAATTCTAAGTTCTAAGTTAGTTGCTAGTTACTGTCAAGTTGATTTTATTTATTAGAATTTGTGTTATTTTTAATTTTTGTAGAAGTAGTGCCAATACTGTACGGGATAACTTGTTTAAATAGTAAAAGAATGTACACGTAAATAAATAAACAAATAAAAACAATAGTTTTCCGGATCTGTTCAAAAACAAACGGAATACTGAGGATACAAACATAGAAAAACAACAGAAGTAAGATCATCTTTTTTTTTTAAGTAGGTTATAAATTATAGCTAAATCTAGATTACTACCGTCCCAAATATCATGTATTCTACTCTTAAAGGAGGGAACTCCGTTCAATATCTTCAATGCCGTCTCAACTCAAGCAGAAATCGCTTTAAAATCGTTCCAAACTATTCACAATAATCTTAAATGACATGTTAAAGCTAATAAACAATCACAGTCATCGGCTAATGCCTCGTACTATCTGCTCCTCAATCCAATTCACGAAGTGTGTGATCCTGGAGTAAACGCCAGGGAAACCAGCCTCAGCGCACTTCCTCCCGTAGGAGACCACACCGATTTGGAAGAAGTAGGTCTTGTATTCTACTGGTGACCACTGGACGGAAAAGATTGAAGTTATTATTAACAGTAAAAAAAAACTTAGTAAGTAAGGTACATAATAATAATTATTATTCCGTATTAGTCCGTGTGGTGACGGATTAAGAATACGGAGTGTCGCCACCCCTATTCATCCCGTGGGTGTCGTAAGAGCCGACTAAGGGAGCAAACAACGCAGGACAACAGCACTGCAAAGAGAAGGAAAATTTGACACAAACCCTATACCAACCCGTCTGGTATAGCGTGGTATAGTAGGCTAAAACCTCATTTCTAAGGAGAGGCCTATGTCCAGCAGTGGACTATTAAAGGCTGTTGATGTGATTGTAATAACCTCACACACGGCTAGACGGACTGCCAAGCCGTGTCCTCATTGTGCCATGAGTACGATCATTTGTCCTGTTTCTGAATGTTATTTATCTATAATATGCATGTATGTAGAAATATTTAAGTATGTTTATCAGCAGTCTGATTGCCATGGCACAAGTTCTGTTTAGTTTTTAGTCAGACTGCCGTGTCTTGAAAGTGACATTCAGTGTGAAGTAACTTTAAAGGTAGCTGATAGGAGACAAACGACTTCTATCCTAGCTACGTAAGTATTGCTTTGTTTTTCAGAGCTTCAAATGCTTTTATCATCATTATTACCATAATCTACACCTTCAATAAGAACTTTATATGTTTTTGTTGTTATTTCCTTTTAGCAAATTTAATTGCTTCGCGAACTGAGACTGCACGGACAGTAGTAGATAAGCGGTCATATCGCCGCTACCTACTGCGCTGAGTGTTGTGGGGTCGATCAAGTTCGATGCCCACATGGGACAACACGTTGTCATTGTCATTCAGAAGAAATGGTCGCACTTTTGATTTCGATTTAAGCATTGGCGAATTAATTGACTACTACGCTACGCTACTACGGGCTTTTACTACTACGCTGAGTGTTGTGGGTCCAAACCCCACATGGGTCTACAATTTTTGTTCTAAGTCTGGGTGTTCTTTGTGTCCGTTTTATGAATGTTTGTAAAGTCTCCCGCGACAAAGGATATATTCTTGGTGCGGGAGTGGTCTTTAAAAGAATAATTGTAGACACTTACAATTGGCTGCATCAGAGGTCCACCACTGTCTCCCTGACACGCATCCTTGCCTCCCTTCTTGTAGCCAGCGCAGAGCACTCGCTCGTCGATCTTTTGTGCCTTATACGCGGCATATGCTTGAGTACAGAAGTCATTGCTGACGACTGGTAGTTGAAGAACTTGAAGGTGTGTTGCAGATGGTCCTCCTGTAAAATTTATGATGTTGTTAGAGGATAAATGTTAGAATGGTCAAACATGCCGGCAATAATCTAAGTTGTGGTGTAACCTTGACATGCTCAAAGTTTTGCTGAAGTTCCTAACTCCTTTTTCAATGCCCTTTTTCTTTTTACTGATTTAATTTAATTGCTAAAATAAGCAATTCATTTGCTACCTGTTTTCCCCTTTAATGGGACCAGTTTCATCATCAGCCTATCGCCGTCCACTGTTGAACGAAGGAGTCCCAACTATCCCTGTCTTGGGTAGTCCGCATCTATCCGCTGCTGCACTTTCCTTAAGTCGCCTTGTCTCGCTTGCCTAATCGCGATCCAGTGAAAGTGAGCTGACTGATGATCGCATCAGTCAGCTCACTTTCACTTGAGCGTACTGTTTCTCCTTGCGATATGGGACCAGTTGTCTAAATATAGGAGTTTAATTAATCCCTGCCTACCCCTTCGGAGATACAGATTATGTATAATGTAGTTTTAGAAACCCAAAGGGTTTGTAGACATGGAGTCATACCAGTCTTAAGCGACAAAATTCAAATGAACTTACTAAATTCAGTGTGTCCCCATCCAGCGATGAGTGGGGTGTAGTCCTCGAAGCTTCTTGCTCTCAATTCACTATCCTTAGGAATGCAGATGGGCCTGATCAAGTCTGAAAATTCAGAATTTTACTAATTTATCTACCGTGGGAGAGCAGCGTTTGATAGGAGTGATGGCATAGCTCCATAGAAAACTGGTGTTAAGCAATTCTTTCTTTACTGTTCACCGAGGTTAGTTAGGAGAGTTAGGTTAGCAGAGATCAACTACCCCCCCCCCCCCCCAAGTTTTAGGAGGGGTGGACTCAACGCAACGCACTTGTGACGCTTGAGTTGCAGGAATCCATGGATGGTGGTAGTCACTTAACATCCGGTAACCCGTCTACTCGTTAGCCCTCGTATACCATAATGGAGATGGGGAAACGGAATGGAACAATTGCTTGCAGAGGTCAGGATCTCGTATCGTATAATATCTGTCCTGATATGGCAGGTCACTAGTACAGGTAAATCCTCTAGCCTTAAAAAACCATCTCCTAATATAAGTAGACATTGCTCAGGTAATCTGTGTGGTGACGGATTAAGAATACGGAGTATCACCACCCCTGTTCATCCCTTGGGTGTCGTGAGAGTCGACTTAGGGAGCAAACTACGCAAGACAACAGTTTGCGTATTTAAAAGGTTTGGGGACGGTCAATGCTACTAGAGACAGTTAATGTAGCCAAATTCTTGGGGGTGCATGTGGACTGTTTCTTGAACTGCAAAAGTGAGTTGGCCAGTATACAGCTCTTCCTCCAAGAAGTCTTAGAGATGTTGCACACTTAGAGCAACTTGGAACTGTGTACTCTGATTTGGTCGAATCGAAATTGAGGTACAGCATTCTGTTTTGGGGTGGTAGATATGACTACAATGTTCAAAGAGCTTTCATTTCTCAAAAAATGGGAGAGGTTGGCTAGGTGAACCAACCGCTTGGTTGGTTCACCTAGCCAACCTCTCCCATGACCAGCTGTACTATTGGTATTGGTTGTGGGCTTCAATTTCCGCATTTAGATTCGAGAGTGGTCCTTTATGCGTCTAGGAGAGGTTGGCTAGGTGACCCAACCAAGCTCATTCCAGAAGCGCAGCAGCTTTCTGGAACGTTCACAGGCTTCTCCCAGCTATTATTAAAGGCTGTTGATGATGATTGCTCACCTGTGAATTCCACATTCCTATCGAGTATGAGTATACCGATGTCATTAGTGAAGGAGGTGGCGCTATATTCCGCATGTTTTATTTTCTGTTTGATCATTACATCCAAGGGAGTCGCGCCTTCGTCTTCTCTGGCCAAGTCCAGCTCGCCGAGTCGGACGACGTATCTGGAAGACAAGATTACTCTGGTGATTTGGTTGTTATTTAACTTCTTTATTTTATTTAGAGAGAGAGATATATATATATATATATATATAACTATATATACGTGAAAATACCAAAAGGAAACAAGAATACGAACTAAGCTAAAAGGAAATTGCATATTCTGTTTCTGACCACGGTCAGTGTTACTTGTAGAAGTAGTAACAAAAGTGATTTGTCAGATCTCTAAAGTGTGTATCCACGGATACAAATAATTAAATAAACAAAACAAAAAAAACTATCCTACGTCCTTGCTGTCCCAATTTGGTCCCAAATTGGTTCAGCGATTTCAACGTGAAGAGGTAACAAACAGACTGACACACTTTCGCATGTATAAAATTGGTATGGATGTAATTAAATTCGAAATGTGACAAAATGGTCAAAAGAGTCAGTAAATATTGTAAAAGAATAAAGAATAAATAAATAAAAGTGGACTGTTTTCGACAGTTATTTCATTATTAATAACTTAATTAAAAAATAAAGCCACGGTTTGACTTTATTTTTTAATTAAGTGACAACGAAAACATTGTATCGCTAATTTATAAATTGCTATTGTTTTAACATTATTTACATTGTCAGTGGCTAAAGATAAAACATTGTTTATTTATCCTCAAATAATGTCAGGAAACATGAAATTAATATTCTATAATACAGAATATATTTGTCGAAAATACCGCACCTTAAATTAATAAACATCGTTATTATCCGTACTACTGTTTGACAAAAACAGGCTAAACTTGTATGGTAATTATAATTGTTAATTGACATGGGTTTAATAGTTATAATACTTCTTTAAAACAGTGTCACTGCCTTTAATTCGACAAATCATGATCAATTCTATTTAGCTGTATTCTGACTGCACGAATGGCGTACTGGTTTAACGACCGCTTCCTACTGCGCTGAGTGTTAAAGATTAGATCCCCAGCATGGGACACCACTTTGTGTAATCTACAAATTGTTGTTCCGAGTCTGGGTGTCACAAAAAGAAACTACTACAGTTGAATTTAGAATCTCCACTTTTTTAACGTGTGTGGTGACGAATTAAGAATACGGAGTGTCACGACCCCTATTCATTCCGTGGGTGTCGTAAGAACCGACTAAGGGAGCAAACTACGCAGGACAACAGCACTATAAAGAGAATTAAAACTTGACATAAACCCTGTACCAACTTGTCTGGCCAGTGTGGTATAGTAGACCAAAACCTTATAAGGAGAGGCCTATGTCCAGCAGTGGACTATTAAAGGCTGTTAATGTTACCGTTTTGAAGAAGGTTAAAATAATGTATTTATTTAATGCTTTGTTACTTCACAGCTGACAATATGTAGTTTACATGGTAACAGTCGAACAATACGCCAATTACGAAATACACAATTAATTAAAGGTAATTAATTAAATAATTACACAACAAGAGTAAACATTCGATATGAATATACCTAATATAGTGCATCTTACGTAAGAATATAGAAAAAATGAGATTTGTGTGTGGAGTAGTGTGTGTGTTAGTGAATGTGGTGAATGGTGTTTGTGTAGTGTGTGTGGGATGTCCATAGTGTGATGGTATGTTACTGTGGTAATTTCTGTTCTTCAGACAAAATTTGGTCAATTTTAATTGCCACTAGTCTCTTCTTAAATAGTCTTATCTCCTTAAGATTAGAGCCTAATGCTTTTCTTTGAGGAATAAAAAACATTCATATAAATGCGTGATCAGCACGTATTTAATTATTTGTCCTGGGTGGGATTCGACTCCACGCCTTCTGGCCCAGCAGTCAGGATCCATTAGACCACTCAAATAAAATGACTATTATTAGTTTCGATATTAACTGCAGTTATAAGACACTATTTGTTGATTTTGAAAATAACGAACTTCCATTCACACTGTATATCCCTCCCCCCACCCAGAAACTGACTGCACGGCTGGCGTAGTGGTTTAAGCGGTCGCCACGCCGCTTTCTATTACGCCGAGTGTTGTGGGTTCAAACCCCACATGGAACAACACTTTGTGTGATCCACAAATTGTTGTTCTGAGTCTGGGTGTACTTTGTGCCCGTTTCATGTATGTTTGTAAAGTCCCCAGCGGCACAGGATTTATTCCTAGTGCGGGAGTTGTCTTATAAAAAAAAAATACAATAATCGTTTCTTAATTTGTGCTTAACACATAAAAAGCATCATCTGTCAAAATTTCCAGTTTTCAGCCCCAGCGGTTTAGTTTCTACGTTGACGAATCTATCAGTCAATCTGGGCAAGTAATTCTAAATGTATAGATTTACAGAATCTCATACACATACAACGTTCATGGTCTTATAGCCAATTGACTTTGATTTGTTTATCTGTACGATAACTAGTGACAATGCCAACAGCACGTGGTCAAGTGTAGCAAGGATATTTCTTCATAAGGAAACACATCAAGAAGGCGCGTGCGCAAACGTGACCTTGTCGTACAGGCTGTGGTTATACGCCTATTTCATTCATTACTATTAAGGTCACTGGTCATTTCCCGCAGTTTTACTTGTGTGCAAGGCTACTGGGCAGTCCCTATGCGTCGCATACGCGTTCCTACGCATACGGCAGCGGTAAGCAGTCTCATCTTCTCTCACTCTAACCGACAGCGCTAGCCGTATTTCGGACAGACGCTTTATATAATATTTAAGTAATAACTTAAGCTTTTCTCAAGTTAAACAATTTCAATATTAAATAGTTCAACTTAGACTTAGATTAGTTTAAGTTATCACTTGTGTCGGGCGTCCCGAGACGCATATGTTTTTGTTTTGTAGTTCACTTATTAGGGTCACTGCTGTCTACCGGAGTTTTATATAGGTATAATTCTATAACCTATTTGACAGGCTCGACTTTAATACTTCACCTACTCATCAACATCATTTTTAGGGTTCCGTACCTCAAAAGGTAAAAAAGGAACCCTTATAAGATCACTTCCTTGTCCGCCTGTCTGTGTGTCACCACTGATTTTCTCAGGAAGAGGTAGACCTAGCAAGTTGAAATTTGTACCAGATACTGAAGTCTATGGTAAGTCCTGGTGGTCCCTATTAGGTGTATAAAAATCAAGCTCCTGAGTCAACACGATAAAAAGATATGGGCAAATTCGGATTTTCAAAAAAAAAAGGAATAATTCCAAAAAATAAAAAGGTTTAAAAATTAAGATAAATTTTGGTACTTACAAATTTTTGCGAAAATCTACGTAAAATCTGGGTAGGTACGAAACCCTCGGCGCACGAGTTCGACTCGTACCTGACCGCTTTTTTTACCGATATCCCAATTTTATTTGGGGGTCTGCGCAGTATTCTTCCATTCTACTCTATCATTCATTATCTCGCTATTTACTCCATTCCTAGCCTACCTCACTCACACAGTCCATCTATCTTTTTTTTGGTACTATCTTTTACCCTTCAACTCCCATTTCTAACACTTTCTAAGCCACGTTAGCCTCATAGGTAAGGTAAGAGTAAGGATCAAACTTAAAAAAAAAACTTGGGCTTTAAAGACCTATATTTTTCAAATATGTTTTTTTAAAGAGTTTTGTATGATTACCATAGACAATTTACACAATTATCAGGGCCGATAGGGTAAGAAATAATGTACCTACTAACATCATGTACAACACAATATTAATATACGTAATTTGGAACGCATCTTACACAACCACAACAAGTTAGCATATGAGAGTTTATTCATTACTCAACAGAATTATATTTACTTATATATATTGCTAGCGTTTGCCCGCGGCTATGCCTATGTCCTTCCTCAAGAATCAAACTATTTCAATACCAAATTTCGTCTAAATTAGTTCAGCGGTTATTGATTCCCCATACCTACAAACTTCTGCACCCCTTTTGCAACCCCTTAAAGAATGATTTCTGGGATAAAAAATAATCTTATGTCCTTTCCTGGGGTTCAAACTATCTCTATACCAAATTTCATCTCGTTTCATTCTCGTTTTCATCAATCGGTTCAGCGGTTTAAGCGTGAAGTGGTAACAGACAGACACACTTTCGCATTTATAAAATTGGTTTGGATACGTTTTTTTTTTAAAGACAACTCCCGCTCTACTTAATTTTTATCGAGTGAGTAAAGTTTCTGTAGCCCAATCCCCTCCCTAACTCTGGGTTTGAGAACTCAAAGGGAGACAAGAGATTTGCGTAATAATCACTGACCATCAGGATCTCAATTTTGCTATTTTAATATTGTATCAATAGACTGTCGTCGGAATAGTTTTGCACTTTTGGTATTCCACCATGTAATATTAATGGATCCCCGATGACTTGTCACTGAACTGCCACTGATACAAAAGTTGTCGATATCTTTGTAATAGTTTGATAAAAGGTTCATTTTAAATTTATAAAGAAATGATATATTGAATTTGCCAGATATGGCAATGTTTTTGATATCAGCATTGATGAACAATTGTCACTATATCTACAGTCTATTGACACTGAGTTAATGTTAGTAGAATACCGATATTTTGACCGATGTCAATGGCATCTCAAAAGCATGTCAAGGGAATGACAGTGGCTTGTATGTTAACATAAAATAGCAGAATTGAGGCCCAGGTAACTCGACTGCTCGTTAGATCCCTGTGTCATAAAAAAAAATAGTTACGATTTCTTAGAACCTGTTCTATTAAGTGTATGTTGTATTTCCACAACAGTAGGTACATAAAGCAATGTTTCCGTGACCTTAGTGCGTGGGAAAAATAACGATGAACTTTGTAGGTATTCTCGTATCTATCAACAATAGAATGACTAATTAATTATTACAAATAACTTTGTTTTGTTTCCTAGAAAGTTTAAAAATACTAATCTTTTTTTTAAACACAACTCCCGCATTAGGAATATATCGTGTGTCGCGGGGGACGTTATAAACATTCATGAAACGGACACAAAGAACACCCAGAATCAGAACAACAATTTGTGAATCACATAATCAGCGCAGTAGGAATGGCGAGTTTGATAGTTTGGCAGTAATATTTAGTCCAAAACCAGTATTAATAATTAGACCAGTTTGAGGGTGGGATTGTTTTCACAACGCAATTTAATTATAGGTTGTGTAACATTTTGTCAAATTATTTTTGTACATATAAAATTTTCTAAGCTATCGGTACTTACAGATCATTTTCGTGGTTGTGTATGCAGTGGGCAGCTGTGAGGATATGGTGTGAGCTGATGAGGGACCCTCCGCACAGCCAGCTAGTACCGCCACGGCGACTTTTGTACCCCAGAAGGGCCATCCAGGGGAAATCACCTGGTGTTTTAAATTAATTAATTTTATTATCTACACAAATATAGTACCTAAATGTGAAGTTTTTTTTTGTTTGATTGTTTTATTTTAGTAAAACGGTAATCTCTTAAACTATCAGATTTGAATAACTATCTTTGCCGTGGCCTGCTGCCGGTGAAAGTGTGGGGACCGGTTAGGACTCTATATTTAAGTAGTTAGGTACATTTACCAAAAAAAAAAACATGTATTCTAGCGTTTATACTCCCGTAGAAGTAAGCAGAGTCATCAAACTCTTACGGTTTCGACGTCCAGAGTTTGTGGTATCGATTTCCATTCATTACAAATCTTTGTGTAATGAACACATTAATTGGTTCTGTAGGCAGAACCTGAATTAGAGGAACCAGACTGCTGATAAACATTTTTAGATACTTCTAAATAAATACATCTTATAGATAAATTGCACCTAAAACACAGAACAAACAATCGTATTCATTACGCAATTATTTGTCTTGAGTAGGAATTGAACTCACGACCTGTTGCTTAGCAGTCACTATCGCTAACCACCGCTAAATGCCAGTCTTAATAAATGGTCATTATACAGGGTGTAAGGGACATCGTAACGAATACTGAAATAGTGTATTCAGACATTATTCTGAGTCGAAAATCATAGGAATTTTCTGCCTGAAAATTAATCAATATTTTTTTGATTTGCCATTTTTTTGGTTAAAAATGATATCACAATGAGTAAACAGAGCATTTCACCCAAAATAATTCAATAACTAACTCGTATGGTAAAAATGTAATTAATCTAATAGCCGAAGTTTCCCCACGGGCCGCCATCTTGTGTTAGTGTGCGTGCGAGATGGTTTGCACGGAAAACAAATATAGTTATTACTTTTGTGCAATATCTACGGGACATTAACCTTTGACAGCTGGTTGCATAAAACAGAACAGAAAATTCTAATGGCTTTCAACTCAGAATGATGGTCTGAATACACTATTTCAGTATTGCAACGTCCCTTACACCCTTTATATCCTAGAACTTGCCATAGTCTGAATTCTCTTATTATCTCTTACCTAACTTAGCATTGATTCCTCCAACGACACGGCTGAACGTTGCATTGCTCACTCCACACACGGGAGGATCCGGGAGGGAATCAACAAAGTCTCCCAGTGCTGTCTTAGACATTGCTGTTACTGGTGCTGCTGTGGTAGTGGTGGTAGTCGTGGTGGTAGTGGTAGGAGGTTGTGGTGGGGCAGTTGGTATGCCGGGGAGGGGACAGCAAACCTGTGGAAGAATAATTTTAGTACTTACTACAGCTCTAATGGAGATTTGATCTATTAAGCCTGGCCAGCGTGGTGTAGTACCTAGGTAAAAAAATCCTTTCTAATGATGGGTTTATGTCCAGCAGTGGACTACTAAAGCCCGTTGATGATGATAATTGATGAATAATAAAATATATAAAAGTAAAATATATATATATATATAAAAGTGTGGTCCCAAACTAGTCTGGCCTGTACCAGAATGTTAACAAATTACTAAATATATGTATATAGTAATTTGTTAACATTCTGGTACAGTACATCATACATGACATTTTGTCAAGATTTTTTTTTTTTAAAGAAAACTTACAGACTAATAAATTTATGGTTACTACAAATGTGTGTTCATATTCAAGCCTCCACGATCACGAAAATTCTAATATATAAAGAATAAAGACTCAGTCACTTGGCGGGAAACAAGGAAAGACTTTTTTGACACCGGTTTTTGTTACGCATTTCGGTCACTCCAGCCCAACCGGGCTATGTGCACCCAAGCATAGCGCTCCCAGGCGGTGGAAATGGAATAATAGTATACAAAAATGATTCAGGTTAAACAGTCTTCTTACCTTTGGGTTGTTGCCTTCAAAGCCACAGTGGGCCTTTCTCAAGATCTTCGTGGCCTCCGCCCTTGATTCTTGCACCAGCTTCAGATACTGCTGACAGTTATAGAGGGAGATGCAGTTACCCACACCACCGTCGACGGTATCACAGGTCGCTCCTACAACAACAAAAAATTCAAAAATAAAACATCATCTTTTAGAAAGGAGGTTTTGGCCTAATATACCGCGCTGGCCAGACGGGTTGTTACAGGGTTTCTTTCAAGTTTTATTCTCTTTGCAGTGCTGTTGTCCTGTGTAGTTTTCTCCATTAGTCTGCTCTTAATATATCCAACTGATGAATAGAGGTGGTGATATACAAACCACACGATAAAAATAAAATACATTTACGATACTAGCTGAAATTATTGCTGCAGCGGATGAGTTTTATTTTTTACGTGATTAATGTTTTGGCCCTATCCACTTGATTTTTAAGGCAACCTTATTTTAAAAAAAAAACATTAGTATTATACTCGTATCAGATTATTGACCAGTCACTTATTTCGTGTTTTTAAACGGCTTAAAGAAAAGGAGGATATTCGGTTGTTTTTTTTTTTACTTTTGTTGCCTCAGAACTCCATCATTTAAAAACTGATTTGAAAATTATTTTTTTTTTTCAGAGGGGATGCTTTCTATTTAGTCCCGATCAAATGTGAAGAAATAGTACCATCCCTTAGGGGCAAAATTAAGAAATGTAGTCTAACGTAGTTTAATGTAGTTTGACGGGCCTGTTGGTCTAGTGGTTAGTGACCCTGACTGCTAAGCCGGAAGTCGTGGGTTCGATTCCCACCCAGGACAAATATTTGTGTGATGAGCACGATTGTTTGTTCTGTGTCTGGGTGTAGTTTATCTATAATATGTATGTATTTAAAAATATATAAGTATGTTTATCAGCAGTCTGGTTACCATAGTACAGGCTCTACCTAGTTTGGGATCAGACTGCCGTGTGTGAGAAGTGTGAGGTTTATTATTATTATTATTTATTTTATTACAGTTAATTTCAATTCATCTGTTCATCTTTAAGCGGCGGTAGCCTAGTGGTAATTAGCTAGGTGGGTTCGAATCCTGACCAGTACACTACCGACGTGAACCCATTCCTAACACAAGCAATTTCGGTTGCTAGCAGACCTTCGACAAGGAAAAAATCATATTATTCGTTTTTATTGTTTAACCGTCTACATCTGTACATTAAAATCATCATTAAAACTTGACTCGTACACCGGAATATATGAAGTAAATACATATAGGTAATTAACAATGTTGGGGCAACACTGATGTATATCGACCTCTAACGTCGGCACGGAGTAGGCAGAACAAGTTTTGAATGTTATCGTTGTTATAATTTTATGCATTTTACTTATAAATACACGTATTTCGATTTTAATTAACAATAAATAAACGAGGTTTGAACTTTTGGAGGTAAAACGAACATTCTTTTCTATCTTTAAATGTATTTTTTTTTAAACTTCGAAAATAGATATCTATCTTTTAATCGGTTGAATTTTTTATGATTATATTTATTACATCAGAACTTCTTTCTTTTTTATTATTAAAAAAACCTATTTGGTCTCATTCAAATTTGAAGAAAAAATGCCGGCCTTAAGAGCGTAAGTTAAGGAATATACAATTTAATGTTTGTTACAATTCATTAGCTCATCGAAGTCTGTGTAGGTACCTATTAGTATTGATTGGCCTATAGGTCCAGTGGTAAGTAATCTTAACTGCTGAGCCAGATATTGTAGGTTCGATCCCTGGTCGGAACGAAGTCCCTTTCGCTTTTTGGTAGACGCTTGCTGTATATATAAATTATCAAAAAGATATGAGCGTCAACGCGCCAACTGAAGTGTCGGAAAGTATTGTTCCACATTTCTGGGTCTCGCTCCCGTCCGCTCAGAGCGTGTAACTTCTGAACTTCTTTCCAATATGGTATAATATGGTATATAATACACTCAAAGACCGGTAGCGACTTTCTTTCTGCCATTTCGCAGAATGAGGCGGAAGATCTCCACTTGGACCCCATTGCTCCTATCTAAGGCATATATATGGCAAGCCGTCTGGTTTTAGGCGGTTCGATTCTGAGACACCACCCGCCGCAAACCCCGCAGGACCCAAGGGGTTTCCTAATATCTAAAAAAAAGTTTTAAGCTCCACAAATAAGTAACAAAATCATTGTTTTCGTGTTTTCGGGGAAAAGATTATAATATACTATGTAAATAAAGGTATATAATATCTATGATTGAATGTAAATATTACGTAACGGTGTGATAGACCATGTTAAATAAACACTTGACCGGTTCGGTATAACTCGGTGTCCTTGGTCCAACGAACAGTTCGTTTCTTTAGGTACGTTTAATTATCGCCACAGATTATATATAATAGCTCCATGAAGTGCTATGTTAATGACAATGTATATCTATTACGTATCTGTGGTTTGTGATAAACATTCTTTATTCAATTTTTTTTTATAATTGGCCACTTTGCTAATGTTTGGGTAAATTTGTTTAAACGAAAAACACCATTGAACGGATATAACATATTCAAAAAAAGTAAAATGGTAATAATAATAATAACTATTATGATTTCACACATCTCAAACTATCGAAGGGCAAACACGCTCCGCTTTTATAGCGCTTTCGAATTTTACTAGAAAGTTCCTAGTATTCGACATTCCGTTCCAGACAAACTCGAATATTCCAGAATCAGTCACGCGTTAGGATCAGAACCACTCGTATTAACCACAATCTTAATAGATGTACTTTAGTCGATACTAGATGGCGCTGTCACACATTTCATACAATCGAACCATTTAATTATATTAAAACACGGAAAAATCTTTGTGCTTATTGCGTAATTTATAATAATAATAAACTCACACACCTCATACAGGGTTGTCTGATCTCAAACTAGGTAAAGCCTGTACTATAAACACAGGTACATTTATAGGTGTTACAAAATATAGAATTGCATTTTACCACATTATTGGTGTGCAAATATTTATCATTAAAATGTTACATTTATTCTAATTACTTATTATAAAATTCTTTAATTGCATTATCAGTCATCTAATTTTATAAATAAATCGATGTCACAAACCGTACACTGCATAAATTACCTATATTAGTCGTATTTGATATTAATGTCTGTTAAAAATTCTTTGACAGAGTACTTCAGAGTAGTAGGCGTTTTCAATTAGTAAAAATAAAATTACGGAGATTAGTTTTGAACTATATTAACTAGACTGCTGATAAACATACTTATGTGTTACTAGATATAATAATATTTAAGAAACACAACGCAGTACAGAACAATTGATCGCACTAAATTGGAGGCAATGGCGTCTCTTATAGCAGCCAGTAGGTATCACTAGGTTGACCAAAAAAGTATATGTTTGAACTGTTTTAGCATTCTAGGGGATACGGTTTTTGCGAGAAATTACTTTGTTACTTATTAATGTTATTTTTTAAGTCATTTTGTAAATTTTCTCGAAATAATTACTTTGTGCGCTTGGTCCTAATTAGGACCCTCGCGTTTTGTGCGTTGGTGGCGTATCTACCTCTTGTTTGTATTTAATATTATTATTAGCGCCGGTTTTCTGTGAGGTCCTGGTACTAAGACAAAGACAAAGACATTTATTGCAAAGAAAACTGTGTTACATATATAGATGTTTTGTGGTAAGTAAAGTTTCAACAGTTACCCAATCGGGCATTGCAATTTTAAAGTACACTATAAATAAAAATGGAATATTACAATAAGTTTAAAGGGCGTGCAAATTATTTTGTGAGAAAATACTCTTGCAAATTATAGAATACATTCTTTATTAACCATTTCTTTAGAGCATTCTTGAACATTTTTCCATCTAATATCTTTATTTCTAGCGGGAGCTTATTAAATACTCTTATTGCTGTTATGTATATGCTTTTATAGTATATCATATTAGTAACATTAGGTAGGTTTATATTGCATTTATATTTATTGCGTATATTACGTTTCGAGTTACATTTAAAATTAAAATTACTGCTCTGATCAAGCCTAAACCAAGCCGAAGCATTGCTCTCCCGCAATTATTTAAATATTATTATGTATTATTTTTATTTATAAAAACTTAAATGCCTATTGTACAAAAATGTAAAGGGGATTAACACAGAGGTGAGTGAAGAGGTAAGTGATGATAATAAGAATAATCTGTGAGCAGTTACTGATAGATTTATGTTGTATACGAATTGTCGTCGTGTGTATTCACCACAATAAACATAATTATTTTGAGTTACATTATTTAAAACGTTAATTAGTAGAACATACTTGTAGACGTGTGGTGACGGATTAAGAATACGTAATGTCACCACCCCTATTCATCCCGTGGGTGTCGTAAAAGTCGACTAAGCGAGAAAACTACGCAAGACAACGGCACTGCAAAGAGAAGGAAAACTTGAAACAAACCCTATACCAACCCAGTCAACCCGTCTGGCCAGCCACCGTCCTTTCTAAGGAGAGGCCTATCCCCAGCACTGGACTATCAAAGGCTGTTGATGTGATGTGACTTGTAGAATGCGTGTGACAGCTTGTGACGTTACCCTTGCTGCATTAATAAATCATTTACTTTTATATTTTTTGAGTCTTTGGTTTTACGATCTAATTTACATCTTAAAATGATTTTTTAATGCCTTCGACTGTAATTTGTAAAGAATTTACCAAAGACTGTTGGTGATCCGAAATTAAAGCTGTTTCTGGACTCAGTTTTGACCGCGGGAACTGGCGTCAGAGCTGGCAGTGTTGATGTCTCCGGCGCCGATGATATATCATCGAAGTTCACAGGGTCATTTGTTGGTGCTGGTGAGTCACCTGCCAAAAAATAAACTATATTTATTATTTAATGCCCTTTTATGTTCGTGTGGCAACTTTCAGGAGAGCTAGACTCCTTTGCTGGAGCTGGCGGAAAAATGGTGTCTCATAAATTTTCAAACGTAGCAGATAGGTACTTATATACAAATAAGCATGCATTATATTATTGTAGTTTTTACACAATGCCTAATAAAAACCATTTTGTAAGGCAAAAAGCGTGTAATGGTGACTTGTTTTGATGGAATGGTCAACGGCTTATGATAAGGACATTAAGTCATATAGTTTGAATAACATAAAGTAACAACAAGCATGAAATTAATGGTATTGTATATTGGGAAGAATTGTGAATAGTATTATTTGACCTGTTGCTGGTCCATAGAGTTAATATTTCTTCTATATCGTTCATTCTCAGATCCTGTTCCGGATTTTGAACTGACATTTGACTGTCAATTCATTTTTTAGATCAAACGTCTAAACAATATCGTTTGTTAATTGTTTTAAATAATAGACATGACGCTATGCCTTGTTGTTTTCAAAATAATAACTTAATTTGGAACTTAACAATTATAAAATTAATTAAAATCGTGACGGGACAATTTTCGTATGATTTTAAAGTGTCATTGACAATGAGACAAAGGAATCCATCCAAGAGTGACGCGTTACCATTTTAGTTTGACAATTTGGCAATAGCAGGGGGATATATTTCAACTTTTTTGTGCTTTTTTGGTACATAAGTGTGATTGGTATGATCTTACCGTCTTGTCCACTCTTCTCTTGATGTCCTTCGTTGTTTTGGTTACCACCGAAGGTCGGATTTTGTTGATTATTGCCGAAGTTTACAGCTCCGTCAGGCTGGAAACCTTCATTTCCTTGATTTGGTAGAAATCCTTGATTCCCTTGATTTGGTAAAACTCCTCCATTTCCTTGATTTGGTAGAAATTCTTGATTCCCTTGACTTGGTAGAAATCCTTGATTCCCCTGATTTCGTTGAAAACCTTGATTCCCTTGATTTGGAAAAAATCCTCCATTTCCTTGATTTGGTCGAAATCCCTCATTTCCTCGATTAGGTTGAAAGCCATTGTTACCATTAAAATTAACGTTGCCACTATTTTCTTCTTCAACAAAGATCATTGGTCTGCCAGAATTTTGTCCATTTTGTCCATTCTGGTTTACTGGTACATCCGTTTCTATAATATATATCGTATCTTCTTGGATTGGTTTGACAGTGGGCCTTTGTCGATTGGGATTGAAAATTCCATTAAAACCGTCTCGGATTGCGTTCTGACCTTGGAGAAAAGACTGTCCCACAAAATTGCGATTCTGGTTGTTGCCTCTTGGTGGGAAAAACCCTGTAAGAGAAGAAACATATAATGTATGTTGTTGATGATATATTGTAATATTTATTTTTCTTCACAAAGTATAAGTCGCTATGCTTACATCTTTTAAACTAAGCAACGTATTTTAATGCGGTTTTCACCAATAGAGTGATTTCAGAGTAAGGTTTGTATGTGTAATACATGCATATTATAGTAGAGAAAATTTGAGGATTTCAAGGATTTGTAGTAAAAAATATGTTTTGGTGTTCTTACATTGCAAATGCTGGCTAATCCTCATGAGATAGACCAAAATATACGGTATTGTATATCGTAAAAAGATCTACAAAATGTCCGCAATATATGTCTATCTCCTACGGATAACTCACAGTAACCATTTTTATCTTATAAATATTACAAAAAACTATTTTAAACAATACATTATTATTCCTTATCCAATTAAATACTTTAGAGACGTTGTACATTTAGTGCAGATTAAATTTGCTTTTCACAGAATATCATTAAAATGAATATTTTAGAAGATATTAGAGGTTTAAAATGCGGGGGCCCAACGACGGTCGAGCAGTACGGCCGTCCTGGGTGACAGCGGCCGGCAGGATCGGAGCGGGCCTATAAACACTGCATTCAAACATGTCCTGTAGTATAGTCCTATCATAATAATAGTATAATTAATTACTCCACACTTTCACAGGGACACCACATTAGTAGTATCTTCATTGCACCCGTGCGAAGGCACATGTTTTGTTAAAAATTTAGCCGTCTGCGCTACTTCAACATTGAAAATTTAAGTATTGAAACACTCAAAACCATAACTATTGGACACTAGTTTTCCGTCTAAAACCCTAAATAGCTATCTTATAGAAAATTATTTTCTACTTTTAGAGTTAGTAACAAAAGCAGTACTGGCTAGTTACAAAAGCATATATATACATATTTTTTTTAATATTTTTTGCTATTTTAGTCAATTATGATCATTATTTTCTCATTAAGTTTTATTCAGTTACATACATAGATACCTACCAAGTGATCGCGGTCCGCATCGCACTTTTTAGATTTATTTTTTTTTAAAGACATCTCCCGCAATAGGAATATATCTTGTGTAGCGGTGGACTTTACAAACATACATGAAACGGACACAAAGAACACCCAGACTCAGAACAACAATTTGTGGATCACACAAAGTATCGTCCCATGTGGGGCTTGAATCCACAACACTCGGCGTAGTAGGAAGCGGCGTGGCGACCGCTTAAACCACTACGCCATCCGTGCAGTCGCTTTTTAGAATTAAATGAACATATGTCTTTATTCACATGTGAAGTTAGCACATTCTCAATTTATACAGTTCTAAATAATCTTTAAGTCTATGGCGTATTGTAGTCTATGACTTCTTTGCCGCGGTTTTTCCATGAGATGTACTATAAGTCAAAAGGAAAACCCGTGGTATATAAATGACATATGGCGTATATAGACATAAAAATTATTTAAGTTTACAGACTACCAACGTAGATTTTATTTATGTATGTGTGGAATGAGTAGGTACAATCATTTATAGTCTAGCTGTGTCCATATGTTAACAAAACTTTGTAATAAATAATAACTGACGAACGACTAGCGAATAAACTGATAAATAAAATAATAATAGAAAGATTCATTTTTATTTGGAAACCCTGACACTAAATGCGTGTTGTTATAGGGCTGAGACAATGGATAACCTCTGTCAGCACCGTTCCGGGTCTGCCCGAACCCATAAAGGATTGACCCCACTCGGAACAATTGAATGCGTGATGAGTACAAGTGTCTATTGTGTCTGGGTCTGGGAGGAAGTTGTCTAAAATATGTATATATTTAGAAATATATAAGTATGTTTATCAGCTGTCTGGTTGCCATGTGTAAGTAATTATATATTATAATTGTAAAAGTATAAAATACATCCGTGTGGTGACGGATTAAGAATACAGAGTGTCACCACCCCTATTCATCCCTTGGGTGTCGTAAGAGCCGAATAAGGGAGCAAACTACGCAGGATAATAGCACTGCAGAGAGAAGGAAAACTTGACACAAACCCTATACCAATCCGTCTGGCCAGCGTGGTATAGTAAGCCAAAACCTCCTCTCTAAGGAGAGGCCTATGTCCAGCAGTGGACTAGTAAAGGCTGTTGATGTGATGATGTAATAAAATATAGAATTTGCCCCCTTAACTTTATCTTAATAATTACAAATTCTGAAGTAAATACGCGTATTGCAATCGTTGTTTGCTATCGATATATAATGATCTTGGAAAATACATGACATCTAATAGGTAGCGTACATGATTTATCGGTAAGGCCATTTCCTATTTGAGTTCCGGTTAACTGGTTTAACAGATTTCTAAATTAGGAGAAATCTTGGGTTTGTTGGGGTCGAATTATTGATTGACGTAATTGTTCTTTAAATACAGTCATCAGTTAACTAAATAAGAATTCGTTCGAGTTTTAACTAACTGAATAGGTATGGATCATAAAGTAAACAGAAGTTATAGATATGTGAACTCTATAACATGGAATACATTTGTAAATTAATACAAATGTGAAATGTATAAGACCAATACAAATAGGGACATGATTGTTTACAAATATTTGTCCTAAACAGGTATTGAACCTTTGACATCTATACAAAATGTCTGTTTGTAATGTCAAAGTAATAGGTTTTTTTCATGATAACACGGTTATTTGCACGATAAAACCTAAAAACCAGTTTCAATATTTTTTGTATGTATGTCTGTTTGTTCCAGGTAATCTTCAAAACGGCTAGACCGATTTGATAATATTTTACTATCCAGTAGTTGTCTATATAAGAGTAACTTAGGCTATTTTTTCTCTTAGAAAACTTTATAGGAAAGTTTTGCCTGGTCGTCTTAATAATGTGTGGGTGTGTGTGTGTGTGTGTCACTATTATTACAAACATTAAAATCCGCCGGTTTGTTATAAGTGTGTGTGTATGAGAACATATACTATTTCAGACCGTCGGAGTTTTTATATTCAATAATTACCTTGTTGTAATTATATATACGAGTATTTAATAGTAAGTGTTGTATAGTATTGGATTTACGATTTGCATATCTCTGTCTATTCCTGTATGTCCGTGTCCGTGTAGTGACGTATTAAAAATATGGATTGTCACTACCCCTATTCATCCCGTGGGTGTCGTAAGAGCCGACTAAGGGCGCAAAACAAGGCAGGACACCAGCACTGCAAAAAGAAGGAAACCTTGACACAAACCCTATACCAACCCGTCTGGCCAGCGTGGAACACTGCCGGACATAGGCCTCTCCTTAGATAGGAGGTTTTTGCCTACTATACCACGCTGTCTTGTAGTGACGGATTAAGAATACGGATTGTCACTACCCCAATTCATCCCGTGGGTGTTGTAGCAAAACAACGCAGGACACCAGCACTACAAAAAGGAGGATAACTTGACACAAACCTTATACTAACCCGTCTGGCCAGCGTGGAATAGTAGGCCAGAACCTCTAAGAAGAGGCCTATGTCCAGCAGTGGTCTATTAAAGGCTGTTGATGTGATACAGCCGTGAATACATATGTACGATGTTTCTATACAAATGAAGGCAAAAATAACAATTCCGTTTATTATAAAAACCACTAATAACGTCATACGCGAGTCTGTGTTAAGTGTCGCTCATTGACATTGCGAATAACTGGTTTGTAGTTACATCTGACACGAGTTTAATTTCATCATATCCCATTAATGTTATGAATGCAAAAGTTTGTGAGGACGTGTGGATGTTTGTGTCTCAATAACGTCAGAACAGCTGTACGAATCTGGAGGGAATTGGGTGCAGAGATAGTTGATAATCTAATTGCTCGTAGGTTTAATTTCCGCCTCGTAAAAAATAATTGTTCTGCGTCTTAAGGTAATTCAGCTAAAATATTTATGTTTTCAGTTACATATAACTATGTTGATATAACAATATAAAGCTCTGTCGAGTTTGAGATTAATGGCCGTATGAGATGTGTAAAAATATTTTTATTAAGTATGAGTACTAGCTGAGACCCTCGGTGTTACCCGCGTTTGTTGTTATGACCGCGGGCAACGCCGCGGGGCGAAGCTGGTCTAAAAAAAGTAGCCTAAGTTACTCCTTATGTATAAAAATAAATAAAATTGAAGTGTCTGTTTGTAATAATATAAATATAATATATTCTACCACATACACACAACGCCATCTAGTCCCAAACTAAGCAGAGCTTGTACTATGGCTACTAGACAACTGATATAAATACATTTATACTTTTTAATGTCAAAATAATAGGTTGTTTTTAGTGCTCACACGGTTATTTGCACGATACCTGTAACTAAAAACTAGTATATATTTTTTTGTCTGTCTGTCGGTTTTGGTCCGCTTAATCTTTTGATTTTGATAATATTGTACCACCAGGTAGCTGTCTATGTAAGCAGTAACTTAGGCTTTTGACAGAAAATTTTGCCCAGCCCGGGAATCGAACCCGAAGCTTCATGGATTTACACCACTAAGGCAGCGGTTTTCAAATTTCACGCGAACGTAGTCGCAGATTCCAGCTAGTATTTAATACGTCTGTAAAATTAATAAATTACACTCAGACACAAAACAAATTATCGTGCTCATTACACAATTATTTTTCCTGGGTAGAAATAGAACCCAGAACTTACAGAAACATCTTGTGGCGACTCCCACATACAAAGAAACATAAAAAACATACTACAGCGCCATCTAATGAAGACACACCGAACTACGGAGTAACTACTAAATAAGAATTTCTAATCCTGTATCGCGATATGAAGAATTCCCTCGCCGATTAGCATATATACAACTTCCCAACATCAACCGTTGGGCCGCGGCCCGCCAGGCATGATCACCTCGCCTGGTCGGAGGATCCTCCCTTTGTGTTGGAGGGACATGACACCCGTTCCTCCACAATCTAAAATTAAGTGTAAATTCCATAACGATAGTGTTATAGGCTGCTATTTTTGTTATAAAAATTC